TTCTCAAGGTACTCTCACTAATTCAAAACCTTATACTGGTACTACTTGAGTCATTATTGGTAATGGTCATTCTTTACCTATTCAATCCGTTGGTCAACTCTCTTGTTCTCAGTTCCGTTTCCCCTAATGTTTACCATGTTCCTTCGCTTACAAAAAATCTAATCTCTGTGCGTCAATTTTTCACTGAAAATCAATGCTCTGTTGAGTTTGACCCTTTTGGTTTTCTGTGAAGGATCTTTGAACGAGGACCCCTCGTCTACGTTGCAATAGTACTGGTTCCCTTTATACATTTCCGCCCTCACTGTTCCATCCATCCCTTGCACCGTCTTCTCCGTCTTGTCCGGTGTTTGCTGCTTCCGTCTCTTCTCAATTATGGCATCAACACCTTGGTCACCTGCATGCCTCCATTTTGTCCATTTTAGTGTCCAGTCGAAGTCTTCCTGGTTCAGTGATCTCTTCCAATAAACTTAGTCTTTGTCAGGCTTGTCAAATTGGGAAGCATCATAAGCTCCCTTTTATGCCTTCTTCTTCGGTTACTTTTCGTGCTTTTGATATTATACATACAGATGTTTGGACCTCTTCGTGTCATTCCTTTAGTGGTTTCAAGTACTTTGTACTCTTTCTTGATGATTTCACTCATTATTTATGGGTGTATCCTCTTAAAAATAAATCCGAGGTTCCTCAAAAGTTTGTTGAATTTTATACTCTTGTTCAAACTCAATTCCATGCTTCCATCAAAACTCTTCAATCTGACGGTGCAGCTGAATATGTTCATTCTCATTATCTTCAATCTTTTCTTAAATCTAAGGGGATCACAATGCGTATCTCTTGTCCGTACACTCCTCAACAAAACGGCAAGGCTGAGCGCATGAATAAAACACTAATCAATATGATCCATACGCTTCTGCATCAAGCTCACTTACCCCATGCATTCTGGGTAGAGGCTTTACATACTAGTATCTATCTGTTAAATTGTTTACCTACTAAATAAAAAACTGGGGCCATTCCTTTCTCTCTTCTCTTTGGTCATCCACCTAACTATGGTTCCTTAAGGGTTTTTGGGTGTTCCTGTTTTCCCAATCTTTCTCATTTAGCTTCTCATAAGCTCCATCTTCGCTCCACTCCATGTGTCTTTCTTGGTTATCCTGAATCTTATAAGGGCTATCGTTGTTTTGATCCCGCTTCTAAGAAAGTCTATACTTCCCCTCATGTCGTTTTTTATGAAACCTCTTTTCCATTTCCTCAACTATCTTCGGTTCCCCAAAAAAATCCTCCTCAATCTCCTTTTAAACATCCCTCGTTCCTTATTTCACGATCCCTCCCTTCATCAAAATCCTCTTCATTGGTTGCTTCTCCTTCACAAAAATATGTGTCTTCTGTTCCTTCAGTACCTGCACCCACGCCTTCCATTTCATTGTCACCTACTTCGGATGTTCCTATTTCGAATCCCCTTATTCATCATATGGTCACTAGAACTCGCGATGGTACTCGTAAACCTAAACAGATACTCTCTCTTACTACCACTACTACATCCTCTTCACTCCTTACTGAACCAAAATCCTTTACTGAAGCGAATAAATACCCTAAATGGCGTGCCGCTATGAATGACGAATTTAATGCTCTCCTCACTAATCATACATGGGATTTAGTCCCTCCCCCTGTTTCTGCCAATATTATCGGCTCCAAATGGATTTTTTGAGTCAAGTTAAAATCTGATGGCTCTCTTGATCGATGTAAGGCACATTTGGTCGCTCAAGGCTACAATCAGCAGCCTGGACTTGATTATGACCAAAAATTTAGTCCGGTGGTTAAACCTGTGACAATTCGGACTGTCTTAAGTATTGCTGCTTCTCGAAAATGGCCCGTTCATCAGTTGGACGTTAAAAATGCGTTTTTGCATGGTCATCTTAATGAAATTGTCTATATGAAATAGCCTACTGGTTTTGTTCATCCAGACCATCCTCACTATCTCTGTCGGTTGAACAAAGCTCTTTATGGCTTAAAGCAAGCTCCCAGAGCTTGGTTTCATCGTTTCACTACTTTTCTGCTTATACAGGGTTTTAAAGGCAGTCGCTCGGACACTTCCATGTTTGTGTATTCTTCTAGATCAGATATGGCTGTTTTGTTACTTTATGTTGGTGACATTCTCTTGACAGCTTCTAGCAATCATCTCCTCACTACTATTATTCAGTCGCTGAAAGACGCGTTCGCAAAGACGGATCTTGGTCCAATCAGCTATTTCCTTGGTATTTCTGTTGCTCCTCACTCTGGTGGTTGGTTTTTACACCAACGCAAGTATGCTGAGGAGCTACTTGCTCGCAGTCATCTCACTGATGCCAATCCAGTTGCAACTCCACTTGCTCCGGCTTTTCAATTTTCGGATGCTGAGTCTCCGCCTTTTCACAATCCGACTCTCTATCGGAGCTTGGTGAGTGCATTACAGTATCTTACTTTCACCAGACCGGATATTCAGTATGCGGTTAATCTTGTCTGTCAACATATGCATGATCCTCGTGAGCAGCACTTTCAGGCGGTCAAACGCATTCTCCGTTACATTAAGGGCACCCTTCACTATGGTACACATCTCCGTGCTGGCCCCCTTGATCGCCTTGTTACATATTCCGATGCTGATTGGGTTGGATGCCCTACTACTCGCTGTTCTATGACTGGTTTTTGTGTTTTTCTGGGTTCCTCACTAGTTTCCCGGTCTTCCAAGAAACAATCCACTGTGTCTCGATCTTCTGCTGAGTCTGAGTATCGTGTTGTTGCCTCTGCGTTAGCTGAAACCGTCTGGTTGGAGAATCTTTTGTCTGAACTTCAAATCAAGCTCTCACATCGCCCGGTCATCTTGTGTGACAATGTTTCTGCTACATACCTAGCTGCAAATCCGGTTAATCATGCTCGCACCAAACATATTGGTCTAGACATTCATTTTGTTAGTGAACGTGTTGCTGTTGGTCTTCTTCGGGTCCTTCATATTTCCTCACAATCCCAACTTGCAGATGCCTTTACCAAATCTTTACCTAAGGATAAATTGTATTTGTTTAGAACCAATCTAGGCATGATTACTTCTCCTGCTACGATTGCGCGGGGGGGAGGGGGTGATAGAATATGGAAATAATCGAAACCCTAATTAGGGTTTTTTATGTAGACGGCTAGGGTTGTTACAATATTGTACTATAAATACCATAATGTATCATGTGAATAATACACACAATAATTCTTTCACAAATATTTAATATTCACACAAAATTCATGTAACATAATGTCACATATTTTTTAGCAATAGTTTACACTATATCAGTGACGGAGCTAGGTGGACCAGCAGGAGCAGTAGCCCCCTAGCCCAAATTTTTTTCCCAAAATTTTTTTAAAAAATTTAGTTAAGTTCTTAGATTTTTATATTTTTTAACCTACTAAATATAGTTTATACATTTTCACCCCTCCATTTTATAAATCCTGACTCCGTCACTGCACCACATATAATGTACTTACAACCTAAAAACTTGTATGAATTTGAATCAATAACTGACCGTCCGTTTAAGTATTTGTAAGAATGTATTTACAATAATAATAATAATAATAATAATAAACACTGACGGTCCATTATAATTCACACAAAGAGCATAATCATACTTTAAGATACGATATTGCCCTAAATTTTGCCCGATGAGAGCTACAAGGTGAAATGCACGGGCCACACGGCCTCCATATATGAGGAAGCATCTGAAGAGACAACAAAGTCCGTGCATGTCTTGGAGGAAAAAGAAAAAAAAAAAAAGGAAGACTTGCTAGTACAAAGTACTCCATATCTTCTAGTATTGTCACTCAATCCACTATTCTCCAATAAAACTAATAAAAATGAGAGGAGAAAATATATATCACCACTAACTAATACTACCAATATTGTTCTATGTATGACACCAACAACATGCAACAACCTTTATGGCTTTATCTATCATCAAATCTACTTATGATAAAGGTCCAAAACAAGTATGGCATTCACATCATTTTCTTTTTTTTCCTTTTTTTGGGTATAAACATTCACATCAATTTCCATTACAAATTCAAACAATATCGAAAACCGATTGGCTGAATAATCAATCCCTTTATACTCGTAATAGGAAAAATTATTTTGACATCATACAAGCTAGAAAGGGGAGATGAAAGGGAAGTTTGTTCCTTGAAAACATGAAGCTGCTACGTCCAACTAGTTTTAGTTAAGGAAAGTTTACATTTTCATGAACAACATTATTTGATTAAACTCTATAATATTACAAATTAAACCATGAGGCTCTCAACAAGAAAGTTCTTCTCTTCTCTTTTTTCCTTTAATTATCGCACCTGATATTCAAAGTAACCGTCAAAATTAAAAACAGTTTCGAGTCAAAAAGTTTCTTTCGGAAGAACTTTTAAGACTCAATTAAATCGGTCAAAGTATTTTTACACGTGGATCAAGTGCTTGTCGATACAGGTAGGAGCGATTTTCATTACAATAAATTAGATGAAGCTCCATAAAGTTGCTATATTGCTATATCACACCACCAAAATGATATTTGTTAAAAAAAATTACTGAAGCGGTGGAAGCCAATATGATTATATGAATCCCAAGGTATCAAACAAAATGGTAAAGAGATAAGAGAAGGCAGAACCTCTTTTTGGTTAGTAGTATCCAATGGAATGGTTTCAAACACTGTAAAAACCAGAGGCTGAAAATCTGGTCAATTGTTACTTTTTCGTACCATAATACAACACACTCTTTTACTGTTCATATTAATAACCCATTCGGAATCAGTAAAAATTTTCCAGAAAACAGAAACAAACAAAGAACCAAAAAGAATAAGATAAAAGAACACGCAATGTTGATGACGGCGAGAGGGTCTGACACACTTTATTTTTATTTACATTCACCCCCCGGGTAAAACAGCTATTTACAGATTGCGGTTTTCAAATTATTACATATGCCAATTCCCAACCTCCTCAAAACACACACACACACACACACACACACACACACACACACACTCTTCCTCCTCAACCGACTCCCCTGCCTCCATTTTCCTCAGTTCTATCTTCCAACCGCCAATCTTCCCTCGCCTCCCTCATTTCCCGGTATCGGACTGGACATCTCCGGCGTGCTCTCCGGTAACCGTTTCTTACTTCTCTTGAGTTTTCGGCGTCTTTTCTTTCTGTTTATTTCACCAAGAATAGCAGTTGGAGAGTTCTTGAGTTGGTGAAATCATGCTGTAAGGAATCATAAAATTCTCCATAAAAACCCGCGGTCGAAATGAGTAAGGAGCTGAGTCCATGTGTTTGTTTGTTTTCTTGACTGGTTGATTTTTGGGGTTCGGATCGGAAATCTTTTTGCCGACCTGTTTTTTCATCATCACTGTAAGTAGCAGAATTTCACTTTGACAAATTAAATCAATAGAAATGAGCGTGAGATTATTCACTTTTGTTTATTTCTGAACATTGATATAAACGAATTTATGGTTTCCATCTGTAAATCGCAGAACAATTTGGGATTTAGTACTCGAAAGCAGGGCATCTTCTTGACGTCAAGAACAGAGTCCATTTTTTGACTGTCTGGTGGAAGGAAAGAAATCTCACATTTCCAGCGGTGGGGAAGTTCAATCCCTCACGCACAGGTTTCTCTCTCCAACCGATTTCTGTGAAGATGTACCTTACATTTTGGTCATAACAAGTTTTTTTTAGTGATTATTTTATTCTCGGCCTCGCTTGATATTTGGCTACTTTGCACACATTTTGTTGTTTATCCCCAATGATAAGCGTTCATTAGGCATCTGAAATTCTGAATTCCTTTGGCTTTAATTTGCTGATTCTGTTTGGGGATTTCGGTAATGCATTTGGGATTTGTTTCCGGTTTGATTTCCAACCGGCCCACCTTTCATTTAATGCTTATTCATCCAATTCTTTTGTGCTTTCTGTGACACTACTGAATTCATACATTTGTTGTTCATCGGCCTTAAAAGAAAACATGTCCATTTACTCGATCGCTTAAGTTAGTTTATTCAGCTTGATGATTACCATCATTGAAGTATCTTCAATTTCATGACCATTAATTAATAACTGGTTCGGTTGATTGGCACATCTGGGATTAGTACTAAAAGAATCTGTTTTTGTTTATGAACAGAAGTTTGCCATCAGTGACAATTTTGAGGAGTTCTTTGTGTCGGAGCTGCGAAATCGAACAGCAAAGGAGAAATGAGAGAAATCAGCTTTGGAAAAGTGGAGGAAATGGATCATTGGAGCAAAACTTCAGCATTTGAACCTCTGCCTGTAGGGAGGAGGCACAACAAACGCAAAATGGAAGACCAAGGTAGTGTTCGATTTAATGTACCCTTCCATCGTCAGTGCAAGTTGGAGAATGTGTATGTTTACCCAGTTAGTCGACCAGCCCCTGGAGCTGGCAGAGAAACACACGCAAGTTATTCGGACCATGGAGAGGTCTTTAGAATGAGGAAAACATCTCACCCTGTTAGTCGACCATCCCCTGGAGCTTCCTTGAGGCGCACTACAGCTGAAGAAATTCATGGAAGTTGTGCTTACCGTGATGAGGCTGATAGAATGAGGACAACATCGTCCGATCTTCAATACAGAACCGCTACTGAAAATCAAAAAGGAAAAAGTGGTTTGAATCCCAAACCAGTTCTTGAACAAGATGGTACTAATGATGACAAACATGAATGGAGGGTCATCAGAAAGAGTGAGAATGCTGTTTCCTCCAAAGCTCCAAAATCATGCCAGATTTTAGAGAAGGATGATAAGTGGATAGATGATCGAAGGAAAATGCTGGAAAAACTTGAAAAATTTCGTAAGATATGCGATAGCCTAAAAAATGAAGGAATTCGAAGGATTGACTGTGAAGCAGTAAATTGTTTCAAAATTCCCACAGAATCTGTCTTAGGACCAATTTCTGGTGTTGAGGTTGGTGATCGATTTAATTACAGAATGGAACTTCGTCTTGTAAATTTGCATAAACCTCCACGGGCAGGTATAGGTTCAATGGTGGACGTTCCTGGGCGAAGGATTGCAGTGAGTATAGTAGATTCTGGAGTGTATGATAATGTCAGGGAGGACCAAAAGACCTTGATTTACTGCGGGCATGGAGGAAATGAGACAAATGGGAATCGAGGAGTCTCTGCCGAAGATCAAAAGCCTAAGATGGGAAATCTGGCATTAATGAATAGTATCAAAGCCAAAAATGATATAAGGGTGATAAGGGGAAGCAGAGGGTCGAATTCACTTGGTTTCATTTATGATGGGCTGTACACCGCGGAGGAAATGTGGAAAGAGAGGAATTCAAACGGGAATCTGATCTTCAAGTTCAAATTGGTGAGAAAGCCTGGACAACCAAGTCCCTTTGGTCGGAGAAGTCTCTAAGGTAATCTGTTCTTTTCTTAATTGCTTCATATGTTTTATGTCTATGTGTTGAAGGATCTCCATTTTAAGAAAGATGCAGAAGATAATTGGAAACTCTGGCGGCTTTTTCTTGTTCTTCATTAACAAATTTTCCAATATTATCATGTACTGTTTGCCTTCAAGAACAAATATTAAGAACCATGAGATTCATCTCTTTACACCGAATAAGCATTTTAACAGGAGTATATAACTAGATGATCTTCTGGATTTGATTGATTCATCTTTCGTTGCAGTTAAACAGAGGTGACAAAATTTGGATTCTGCAACATGAAATGCATATTCAGTGGAAGATTGTTCGATATGTAGAACATGACTAGAGAAGAAAGGTAATATCAGTAGATTGGATTTGATATGATCGATCATCGGCACTTTTGTCATGAATGTATACAATCTAGAGAGTTGGCTTTAGACATGGTACATTGCGGTTGTCTTTTTTTCTTGTGTTTTTTTGGGGAAAGGTGATGTAAGACAAAGAGTCAACAGCCTTTGGTCCAGTTTTTTTTACGTCACCGTGCTTTTCAGTTTCTGTATTCAGTACTTGATGGGATGAATTGTTAAGAATCTATCTTTGAGTTACGTGGGATGGATTGCTAGCTAGAATTTGCTCGTAATACAATGTGGTGAAGTTTTGAGAAATTTGTTTGCATTCCATATTGGCTGGATAATGATTGATTGAGTTGCCAATACCTCCATGGTAACATAGTTTTACTTAACTTATTGATGCCTCCTCTAAATTGTAACACTAATTAGGAGAAATGAGAATTGGCGAGAAACTAGGATGAAAGACACGGATAGAGCATTCTTGCTTCATCCGTTTAAGAAGAAATCATGTATCTTCAAAATGTACAATTCTTTAATTTCAGTTAACGGAAATAAAGTATGTAATCCGATTTATACAATAAACTTCCACAACTACTTATTATCCTGTCATCAACATGGGATAGCTCTAGTTTCAGTCATTTTTAATGAAATTAAATTTGATTTTTTTGGAAAGTGACTATTTTTCGAGACCAAAATTTTTCATGAAACTGTATTATTTTTTTGGGACAAATGACTGATATACTTCACAAAGTTTACTATCACAAAGTCAGAGACAAGTCTGTTTTTATTTTGACTAATATAGCATTTGATTAAATTATTAATTTTTGGTCGGGGGGGTTAATTGGGGTTTATAAACCATGTAAATATAGTGTTTGTAGATGTTCCTAAGATACATAATCTTAAAAAGAAAAGATAGAAGATACTGTATATACCGTGGCTTTGGATTCTCTATAATTCTAAGTCATGAAGTCATGCTTGTTTTGTCTCTAAATTAAATTTATGTTTGTAAATGGCTCTAATTTAGGATTAATGGGTTTTATATTCTGTGTATAACATTTTTTGTCTTATCATATTATCGACCTCATGAAAGCATGTGTACATTGTGTAGAGCACCAATAACTTAGATTAATTGAGAGTGTCCTGCAGCACTAACTGTATAATTGTCTGTAAAAAAAAAAATTAAATGAAAAAAATAATTAAAATGAGATTATTATTGAAACTTGAAAGTTTAGAAGACATTCTTATGCGGAATATGCAGCGGAAGCTGGCAAGGCTCCTACCATCCTACGTAATGGCAAGCTTTTATCGAGGCCGAAAATTATAACTCATGAAAGTGTTTAAATGCATGATAAACAAGACAATGTGTGCTTAATAAAAACACATAGAAACTATTATGATGGTCGCTATAATGAATCTGATGCGACAATTTGTTATTCCACTATTTAGTAAACAATTTCATCATCTTTCTACCGAGAAATGGTCCATATATATATATATATATATATATATATATATATTAAGGATGTGGACCTGGAAGATTAGAAGGTTGGAACTAGGAGGACCTATCGTGTACAATATTTTCCTTTTCAACTCTTCACTTACTCAAATGATAAAAGTGCACTAATGACTAATGAGCTGTGTCGTTAATTAGAAGAAAGTGAAATAATAGTTTTTTCCTTACGTTGTTCGAGTATGCAAACAAGTGACGAAATGTCCTAATATTTGTGTTATATTCCAGAAATAATTAAAGATGTTATGGATCAGTGTAATCTTTCCGATTACCTTTTTGTCAAATAATACCATATAATCTGTTCAATATTAATTGATCACTAATTATACATATGGCTCGATCCCGCCTGTCAGTTACGATCTCCTAGATACCAAATCGCACTAATAGTAATAGGTCCATGCTAATTAAAGTCAGAAGCACGAGCAACTTGGAATCGGAAAAATGGTTGCTTAATGATTTTTTTTTCCCAATAAAGTTACCTGTATTAGATTAGGATAGAAGGGTTAAACTATGATATGCTAAATTATGAATTTCAATTACATTTGACATGTCAACTTTAATCAGTTCACGAGTTTCAAATGTATCGATAAATAAAATTAAAAGATAGATTACTGAGTTGATGCACATAATTTCATATATTCTCTCATCATTTTCATGTGAATATGACGATACCTATTTTGTTGCATCACAGACTCACAGTTCACACTATTCACATTTGACAAAATGTTCCGCGTGATTGGTTGTTTCTGTGATTGGCTGTAGAAACAAAATCATCGTTTTCCCAATGAAGTAAAACGTTCACGTCAGCTGAAATATTTTATACTGACCTAATATTTTTTATCGTTCAGAGAAATATATGTCGACGGAAGCAACGCCGAATTATGACAAGTCGACAAGGGATCATATCATCATATCCATTCTCCCCAATCCCTTATTAGAAACTAACATTCTCAAATGCTCAAAATTTCAGTTAAAGACTCCAAGAAACAAAAACAAAAAGGGAGGGAAAGAAACTATTAACAAAGTAAAAGAAAGAACCCTCCAAGAAGATCCCGCCACAATGCAATTTTTTAAAATTATTCAAACCCCACTAGTCCCACTCAGTCCCCAACGGATTACCTCCCAAATGCATAAAGCCTGACACGTGGCATCCTGTCATCTATCCAACTCATCTTTCTCTCTCAAAATCAAAATTATTTAATCCCGGATAATTAGGTCAGTTAACATTTTATCTTATAAAACAAATTTTACCTGAAGTTTGTAACGCTTTTTTTTGTAGAGTACTACTGCTGCTACTATATATGAACTGGGATTGAATTTGATTTTTCCAAGTCAAAATTTTAATATTTTTCAAAAATAGGTTTCTTAATTTTTTATTTCCTCTCCACTCTGTTGCTCCCTCTGTTGGTGGCGCTGCTGTTGCCGCCGCGTAGTTTGCCCGCCGGCGAAGTCGAGGTTTCGGACGACGACGGAAACGAAATTCAGGCGGAGAATTCAACGTCTGCTTCCTGTGGCGAAATGGATAGCCTGATTGGACTTGTGAACAAACTCCAGAGAGCTTGTACTCTCCTCGGCGATTATGGCGAAGATAATCGCAAATTGCCTACTCTTTGGGACGCTCTTCCTACCATCGTCGTTCTCGGCGGCCAGGTTTTGTACCGTTCTCTGTGTGTTCTACTGTGTCAAATGAAACATTCCAGTCGTCCGATGGCGGTTCCTTAACGAACTTTTTTTTTTTCCCATCTCTTGGTGTACGTCTGTAATTTAGATATGTCATTGCAATTTTGTGCATGCATATCGTTTTTGTGCAGTTTGTGAGGTTCGCAGAATTGATTTTGTTACTTCGTTTTGTAAATTTTGAGGGAGTAAGTTGAAATTTGTGGTCCAATATGATGAATTTACAGAGTTCCGGAAAGTCGTCCGTGTTGGAGAGCATTGTTGGCCGCGATTTTCTGCCAAGGGGATCCGGTACTTTTACTTGCTCTTCCTTTTTAATTTGGCGACTGAGTGATTGTTCAGAATGAGGCTTACTTTTAATTAAATAAACTTAACTTGTGGTCGTAACTCAAATCTGGGCTTCAAAAGGTGAACAGGATCAGTCATGAAAACTTGCAGTGTATTTAATTTGTTGGTCTGGTTTCTGTAGTCACAGAGAATTGTAAATTTTTTTCTTACCTGTTTCTTTCCTGGATTAGTCAGATGCTTTTTTGTTTTCCCGTTCTGTACGTGTCTTGATCAGGTTGAATTTCTCGTTATCTATTTGATTTTTTGCTTATGTGAATAAAGAGAAGAATAAGTTGGGAAAAAATAAATAGAATCCTGGAAGATCTTCTGATGCCTGGATAATTGATGTTAGTTTGATTGAGATATATTAGGGTCTTGCCGAGTCTCAACAACAGCAAAAATTCTATATACTTTGTCTAAGCGAATAGTTCAGACATAAATACATTTTGTTAAAATTAATTGATACATCACCAAACTTGCAGGACACTAGATTCGCATCGTTTGGAACTGGTATCTACTTTAAATGTCACCTGTTGTTTTTATTGTGATCTTGGGTTGATGTACAGTTCACTGTTCACCTTTTTCACTACAATGCAAATTTTTACATCTCCAAACCAAAATCAAAACATTATCTTCGCAGACCTGTGTTTTTGATGAATATGATCCAATATTCGGCAAAAGATTAGATAAATTGGATAACATTCATTGGTTCCATTTGTTTCTTCTTCCATTTTGAGATATAACTTCTCCCTGGTCTTCTTGACAGCCATTGTATTAATTTCCAGTGTAATTATTCTTGTAGGTATTGTTACAAGAAGGCCTTTGGTGTTGCAGCTTTACAAGACAAATCCAGGATCAGAAGATTATGCACAGTTTCTTCATACGGGAGATAAAAAATATACAGACTTCTGTAGGTCATTTTGTTGTTGAATGAAATTCATAGAACCATTTGTGGCACTGCTTCATATTCAAATATACAATTAGTCTTGCTGGTCCTGAAACAGCAACTTTATGGGACTAGGATCTGTCAGAATGGAGGTTGTTCTGATGCTGATTTTGCTTTGAAACTTTGTGTTAATTTGTTTTCTACGAATTACACCTTTCCAATATGCATTAAAATTGTTTCCAGTGTTAGCTAAATGATGTTATCAAGTAGGAATTCTTTATTACTAAGGTTGCTTCCGGTGCTTTCCCTTGTAGAAGTGACGTGTAAAATTGAACTTGAGTTACTATCTGCTAGCTGACTTACTTTCTGTTTCTGTCATGAAGCACTGGTTCGAAAAGAAATTCAGGATGAGACTGACAAAGTGACTGGGAGGACAAAGCAGATTTCACCGCTGCCAATTAATCTCAGTATCTATTCCCAAAATGGTATGCACTTTTATTTTTTGTCGAACAAACCTGTAGTTGTTTTACTGGCTTTATATCTCAATTGACTTAAGTTCTATTGACAGTCATCGAGAAATGCTTCCTGATACTTAATGTCGTCATATAAAAACTCAATAACTGTTCCAAATTGCTGGCATTTTTCATATGATTTCCCGATTTACTCTTGTTGCTTTCAGTTCAAGGAAATTAAATTTGGTTTTCATTTTGATCTCCCGCCCTATCCTTACAATAACAAATATTCATTTCTTTGCAGTTGTTAATCTAACGTTGGTAGATTTACCTGGATTAACTAGAGTAGCTGTGGGTATGATATCCTTCCTTCATGTTATATTCCCTACATTTTCCTCATGATCACCATTTTCACGTTTGAAAATTATTTCTTACAGAGGGACAGCCTGAAGGTGTGGTTCAAGAAATTGAGAATACTGTTCGTTCATATGTGGAAAAGGTACATTAAAGCTTTAACAATGGATCTACTGAGTAAGAGGAGGTTGAATTTCTGTGACGATTTTGTACAGAATTTTGCTTTTGTGGTTTGTAATTGTTCTAAATTATAGCATGCCCTCTAATCACACTTTAAGCTGTGAAAGTCTGGTGGGATTATGAATTCTGGCATTTTCAACGCCATTTTGATTGCTAGTATCTTGTTCTTGTATGTAGCCAAATACAATCATTTTAGCTGTGACTCCGGCCAATCAAGATCTTGCCACATCTGATGCAGTCAAGATTGCACGTGAAGTTGATCCAGCAGGTATTTTTAAGAGTTTAGACAGTCTCATTCAGATCTACAAACTTTTGGTGTCTTCTCAGCAAACTTGTGTTCCTCATGCAACTGATGGAGCTATGTGCAGGTGAACGGACCTTTGGTGTTTTGACAAAAGTTGATTTAATGGACAAAGGAACGAATGCATTGGATGTAAGTTTTCACTTGTTTCCTATGGCATTAAGACAACATGGATAGTGAATAAATTTCTTTTTTGTTTCCTGATCCACTTATATCAGCTTCAGAATTTTTTTTTGCAAGAAGGCATACTGCTCACTTTTGACATATTGCTTATTTGCGAAGATTATTATCTGATATAGCTTCTTTAAGCCCTGATGATCTTCAATACTTTTTTTGTGAAAGTTAGAAATTCTCCAACAAATTTTGCCTAAGACCAATATTGAGTGCTTAGAAGTAATTGAACTTATCAATGTTTGCAGCATATAGCTGGTTCATGAATGAAAATGCCAACTATCTTAGTGACGAGCATCCTATATACATTGTAGTGTAATGCATCTGATTTAAAACCATCCCACGGCTTTTTCCTTACTAAGAGATATCTGTTCTATATTAAGGTACTGGAAGGACGATCGTACAGACTGCAACATCCCTGGGTTGGAATTGTGAATCGTTCACAAGCTGACATAAACAGAAATGTTGACATGATTACTGCAAGGCGCAGGGAACGGGAATTTTTCGCCACAAATCCTGAATATGCACATTTGGCCAGCAGAATGGGTTCAGAGTATCTCGCTACGGTGCTTTCAAAGGTACATTCTAAGTTGTACTACCTTGAAAAAATTAAAGGTCAATGACTGACTATTTCCAACTGCTGTTGAAACTTGTCCGATTCCAGCACCTTGAATCAGTTATAACGGCCCGGATACCAGGTATTATGTCAATGATAATCAGAACTGCTGACGAACTTGAAGTGGAGCTTGCCCAACTTGGGAGACCTGTTGCTGTAGACGCTGGGGTGAGCATTATTAATCTTTCTTTCTTTTCTTCTCTGTGCGTGTGTGTGTGTGGCTTGCTCTGTAACCACAAACCACACCCCCTCCCCGGCGCCCCACCCCGTCCAGTCAAAAGAGAAGTTCAGCTGTTTTCTGTTTTGGCAGGCCCAATTGTACACAATCATGGAGCTATGCCGAGCATGTGACAGAGTATTTAAGGAGCACCTTGAAGGAGGGTACGTTCATATCTCTCCTCAATGCCTCTCTCGTTCATTGTTAAAAGATAGTGGGAAATTTATACATTTCTTTCAAGGGAACAGGACATGCTAGTTAAGTTTGGTACCTTTAGAACGAGGTAACACATTGGTCTCAAGAGCTTATTCACATGTATTGTATAAATCATTACAGTATATTGTCAGAATATTTTTTCATCGTATGTTTTTGCTGTTCGAAGTAAACATAGTACTTTGAATAAGTGATTTCATTGGATTAACTAGACAACTTTAAAAGGTGGTTATGAACTATGTAATTTCTTTGGTCCTTCTAAACTATGTGAATTTCTATTCTCTTTATATGTCCCTATTCTTCATTGAAATATGATCCATCATCCCTTATTCTCTTTGTATGTCCCTATTCTTTTTATAACTGGATTTTATGTATATGAGACGTTTATTTTTCAATCTTATTGCTTTAAACATATTCATATCTCTTTGTAGCCGGCCAGGAGGAGAACAAATTTATGGGATTTTCGACTACCAACTCCCTGCTGCTTTGAGGAAGATTCCTTTTGACCGCCACCTTTCTCTTCAAAATGTTAGGAAGGTGGTCGCACAAGCTGATGGTTATCAGCCCCATCTCATTGCACCTGAGCAGGGTTACAGACGCTTGATTGAGAGCTCTCTTAATTATCTCAGGGGTCCAGCTGAAGCTTCCGTTGAAGCAGTGAGTGTGCTTCAATCTTAAATTATCGAATAGCTTAATGGTGTACCTTGTATTTCTGATGAATATTTTCTCAAAGGGTGGATTTGCAAAATTTCCTTTCTTTTTCCCAAGAAAGAAGCAAAGAACTCTTCTTTAACAGCTTCATGCTTGTTACTTCTATTTAAAATTTGAATTGGTTATGTAGGTCCACGGGATCTTGAAGGAACTTGTGCGGAAGTCAATTGGAGAAACACAGGTCTGAAAGTCAACTTATTGTAACCAGATTCTTTATTAGACCATTATTAACTAAAACTTCTGTGACTGTCAGGAATTGGCACGCTTTCCGACCCTGCAAAGGCACATAGGAACTGCAGCAATTGAGGCACTAGAGAGGTTCCGAGATGATAGCAAGAAAACAGTGTTGCGCATGGTGGACATGGAGTCCTCTTACCTGACTGTAGATTTCTTCCGAAAACTCCCACAAGAGGTAGAAAAAGGTGGCAATCCAACTGCCCCTTCTGCTGACCGCTATAGTGAAGGGCACTTCAGAAGAATAGGTTCAAATGTTTCCTCATACATGAGCATGGTCTCTGAAAATCTTCGGAATACTATTCCGAAGGCTGTAGTTCACTGTCAAGTTCGAGAGGCAAAGCAATCTTTGCTGGATCACTTCTACACACAAGTAGGCAGGAAGGAGGTAATACCTTTCAGACATTAAGTGCTTTATTATGGTGATTTGCAGAAGGGAAAGTGATTAAAGAAGTTGAATGAAAGCAAATGATAATGTTTTACTCTGTCCTAATTCATATGATCTACAAAACCTTCATGTTTGATGCAATCTATATTCTTTAATTATAATGCTAATTATTATATTCATAAACACATGTCAAACACCAATTTAAGAAATTCATACATACTGGACTAAAATGTTTCATGCTTACTAATTGATTAGAGATGTTATCCGAATTTATCGTTTCAAATTATTCCACGGCTACGATCTATCTTAACGAAATGAAAAGTGTGCTCCCTGAATAAGCCGTTACATCTGAGATTACTGAAGTTTATGTACATAAAGGTGGATCTTGCAAAACTTCAAATTTGCTTCTTTTTTTTTTTTGTCCTTGTAGGGCCATCAGCTTAGTCATCTGCTGGATGAAGACCCAGCATTACTGGAGAGGAGGCAGCAGTGTTTGAAGAGGCTAGAGCTATACAAGGCTGCAAGGGATGAAATAGAATCAGTGCTGTGGACAAGATGAGATTGACTGTTTCATGAACCTCCTGGAAAGATAATTTCACTAGAAAAATATGTTTCATGTTAATTTCTGATATTGATGGATTGCTTAAATTTAATTAGGGAATTGTTTCTTGGTGCATTTGCGCTCTGTATCCCTTGAGTCGTTACTGGAGCTGAAAATGGCTTTCTATCCCTCTTGTGTAGATCTTGAGCTTATTTGTAGATCCATCGGTTCGGAAATGTTATTAACCGCAGAAAACGAGCTAAAACTCACATGTGCGAGCTCAAGCGCTGATGATGGAGTAATATCCAAACGATTTAAATCTAGTAGCCGAGCAAAATACATAAGTAGCCCTTTACATGCTTTCTATATCACATCACAAATTGGGCTTAATAATAATCATCTGACTTTGCCCCAAAAATGGGGTAATTAAGTAGGCACAATCTCAAAATAAGGGTATCTTCCACCCCGATCAATCTGGTTCTCCAACTATTCCCTTAAAGTAAGAAGGTCAAAACCATTACGGTTTTTGTTCATGATCACTTCCGAGAATGTGAAACGTATTTTCGATAGTAAAGACAAACTATAACCCGCATAGTATTATTGCACAAGATCCTTAAGGATTAGCAATGGAAATTATGACTCAGGCACCATCTGTTTGTTTGCCAGATTTCTTATCAAGCTCTTCCAATGCCGCCCATAGCTTCGGATCTTCATAGTCCTTTATGAGAAATGTAGGTTTTGCTTGCATTAACAAGTGCTCTGGATTTCTAGTTGTTAAACCAACAACCGGCATGCCAGCAGCAACCCCAGCTTTGATTCCAGAAACAGAATCCTATTGAAACATTCACAGAAACTGATTAATTTACTTGTAAAGAGTAAAGAATAGTAGTTGCCCAACCAAAAAGGTATAAGAAGACAAACCTCAAATACTACAGTGTGATCCTTGGACACGTGGAGTACTTCAAGCGCCTTCAAATAGGGATCAGGGAATGGTTTTGCACGCTCACAATCACTTCCAAGAATGACAGCTTCGAAAAAGTCAGAAAGGCCAAGTAATGAAATCATCAGCTCAGCATTAGGCTTTGGAGCGTTGGTCACTGCAGCTCGCCTCAAACCACGATCTTCAATCCATTTACGTAATTTGTACAGGCCATCAATGGGTTTCAGTTGCTCCTTAGCCAACCTGCAGTTATCATTCCAAAGAACATAAAGAGATACAACAGGGTGATAGAAAAAATGGCCATCATGAGGTGAAGTTAAAATAATAGCACCAAGATTACAGCACTAACTTTCTAAACATAGCTTCCTTGTCCTCACAAAATTTCAAGCCCCTTTCACGATCACCAGGGAAAAGAATTTCGGCAATGTCATCATTGTGCTTCCCGGCGATATTCTCAATGAAGAATTCTTCAGTAATTGGAACACCGCCATTAAATCCTATCTGTCAAAATAAATATATTCTATTTATGGAAGAAAGACTAAGAGAATGCATCTCATTCAAGCTATAGAGGACAAAGACATCATTATTCAGTCCCTAGAAGCAGAAACAAAAGATTAACTGTATCAATAGACCCTCACCCAGATTGATGCAATAAGTTCACACGCAACTCTGAACTAAAATTGGCAACTTATAATTGAATGAACAAAAACCATTGAAATGTAAATCGTTACTCACCTCTTGAAGCATTACACAAAAAGCATGGTGATGGAGGGGATCAGAATCACAAAGGGTTCCATCAACATCAAACAGCACAGCTTGAAGAGGAGCAAGGTGAGCAAGTGACGAAGAGCTGCAAAAAGAAAAAGTAAACTGTAAGTAAAAGTTCGTTCTGGAAAACAACTACTTGAGATGTGAGAATAAACACCAAAACCAGAGTTGAATTTCACTTTATTCATATGTTAAGGTCATAGTACGTATAACAACACCCGTACACTGGACTTAAACACATTTCAAAAGATGCTCCGATCAAACAGAACTTAACTGGTATTCAACAGTTATATGCAATAAATATAAATTCCAAGAGCAACAAGTAGCTCAAATTAAAGCATGCCATACTATAAAACATAAAGAACCAAAGCTCCTAGTACTCTATTACTTCTCCAGAAATAGAAGAATGACATATATAGAAGTTCCAAGAACAAGCATTACATATGATCATGGGAAAATGAATAATGTATGAACAGCAAATAAATGCGAGGCCAAACAAACATGGCTAAAGTTGTGAGAGTGGAGAATATCTTCAGCATCAGTTGGGGGTTCAAAACTCGTCGGGAGCCATCAAAATATAAAAAAGAAAATCATGGGGAGTCTGTGCAGCCAATTTCTAGAAACACATGTACATTGTATTTGTGATTGACGCCCAGATAAAATTCTTCATGAACTTTTCATGTATGCAAGGAAATTACAGATCAAAGAGGCTCAAAGTAGCAATGAACAAAATCACAGAATGTTTTAAGAAGAGGATGAATAAAATAGATGATCAGCACTTCCACATCTCCTCAACAATCAAGATCTCAATAGGCTGTCTTGGATTCAACCGTCTACTCAAACAAAATCCTGCTACGCAATTTTTCTCTCTGTATGACTAACTGTTGAAATTGAAAGGATCAAATAACAAAAGTGGCCACATTCTGCCGACACATTTTCGAGCATCTACCCAACCAATCATCAAGAACGATTTCAGATGGGTTCCAACAAAAAGATGCACCAAATGCATGAGTTAGCAAGAAAGCAAGAACCCCTAAGAACAATTTAAAATCCCAAAAAGGAAACCCTTCCGGAAGAATAGAATAATGTTCATGTTCACCATACAAGTGCAGAAGTATCAGCAGAAGCAGAAAATGATAAAAGAATAATCAAATCTCTGTAATACACCGTATATCATACGATAACATTTGAGCAAAAATACAGGCAGTTCTTATCAAATTGATGGAATTATACAATCAAAGAACTTGGTCTGGACGATCACACGGTGATTAAACTCAAAAACAAACTTCCGATAAACATGCTCGACATACTAAACCCAGAAGGGAAAATGAATTCACCTGGAGGAAGAATTTTCAGAAGCAGAAACCGTCATGATTACTTCCTTTTTCTGGGTTTTTCTTTCCCACTATTTCTCAGGTCAATTTTGATGCGGGTAAAGCTCCCCAATGAGAGTGTTGAGCACAAATCAGTGACCCAAATGTGATGAAAAATATAAGGAAAAGGAGAGAGGGGAAGAATGTTCTCGGAAATCAAGGGACACAAAAAGCGCGAGAGAAACTCTGCGTTGTCTCTCCTCCCGCTGGCTCTCCTTTTTCTACAGAAAAATGGAAAGAAGTTTCTCTTTTTTTTCAGTTACCTTACAAAGTGGAAGCTGGCATCTATCATTTCTCCATTTACTATATTTCATTTTTAATCATTTTCTTTTAAATCGTCACTCATATATTTGTGAGAATATTACGGTATTATTCTTCTTCTTTATTTTTCCCCTTTTCCGAAAATTAATTACTATAAAATTCGATGAAGAATTTCTTTTCATTTGAACAAAAAAAGAAACTTCATTTATAACGGAAATGATTTATCTTTTGGGACAGGCAAAATATTTGGCAAGTAACTAATTTTGTAGATTTTTTTTTTTATAAAAAAAATGGTTAAACCATGGGTCAATTTAAAGGTGCTATGAAATAGTTCTAGTACTTACTAATCAACTACGCCTACATCTCATAAAAATAATCTATATTGATTTTTCAAAAACTCAACGTGAATTATAAATTAGGAAGGGAAAGTGGTACTCCCTCTGTTCCATAATTATTGTCCAGTTTGAGTTTTTATTTTTAGTTCAAATTATACTAAAAGTGAAATCTCAAACTGGACAATAATTTTGGGACAGAGGGAGTATATTGTATTTCTTTGTTAGTCGAAAGAGAAAAAAACATTTCTCATCCATGCTTATATTCGTGATTTACTACATACATATAATTTTGTATTCTTGTTACACCAACTTTTCCTGATAGGACCCGGACTCTTCTTTTCACTCATTGTAAAGACTAAAAAATGCAAGAAATTTGGGAGCCTGCTAATACTATTCTATTAGTACTTTGTAAAAATAGATCATGTTCTGTGAAAGAAAATTTCATTTTGGATTACTCTTCTTCGAGGAATTAATATGGAATTTGGTCCTCTGGAGAAGAAATGCTTTAAAACAAATTCGCCATCTAATTTTGAGCAAAATGTAAAAATGGACCCTAAATTACGCGCTAATCCGAATATATTCCCTACGTTACTAATTGTTGCCTTGTTTGCCTCAATATTCTAGTGTAATGAGTATAATAGACATAACTATAATTTGCAGCCGTCATGGACAAGGTGAGAGGGAATTTCGGGGTGCCTCGTTCACCATGGAATAGTGAACTACATTGAAACACAATGTAATGAAAGGTGAAAAAAAACAAAAGAGTCATACCCACCTAGCTAATTAGTAAGATATGAAAAATTTAGACAAATTTCAATGAAATTCGGTATGTCATATCTCAGGTGTAATTTAAACATAAAAAAAAGAGTTTCTTAATTACCGTTTCATGTAATACAACAATTAAGGTATGATCATCAGCATATCTTAAGCCATAAGACATTATTTTGACATGAATGAAAGCCATGTCACTAGATATAGCGCACTAGATAGGCAATATATTGCATATGTGGTCGCGCCATTAAACTAAAGTCTGGTAGTCCAATTGTTGAGGAAGACATCCAATTTGATTAAGGACTGGAATGTGTGAAGCCAGGTTTATGAGCTAAACACCATGCGATAGAATGGAGGAGTATAAGAATGAAACCCCACCCCAAATCATGCATACCTAGAGCACAAATATGAACTCCATCGTTCTGTTCTAAATTCTGATCAGCATTATACGATTAATTGAAACTATATGTAGTGTGAATACTGCAAATATTACGAGTTATTAAGGAGGTCTTTTGCAATTAGGAAATAGTTTAAGCGATATTTTTTTAAACTTACTCAAAAGTGATTCAATTTCGTATAGATTCCTTTAAGATGCTCCCAAAGATTCTTGGAATATAGTCAAACTTGCACCAACCAAAGACTTATAGGTTCTAACACGACCACCAAATCATTGGGCTTGTAATTCCCTTCATACAGGCCTAACTAGAAACAAAACAGGCCTGACCCAATTTAGCCTTTGCTTGTTGGGTCAAAAATACACAATGCACTCCTGCATAGTATGTTGCAATGCAGAACACGTAGATGAAACGGCAATGATACGTGTCACAACAAAAAGAAAAAGAAAACATGACGCAAGAACAAGATTCGATTTTACGATTTAAATCATTAGTTTCTTCCGGAGCTCTCTTTTTCTTATCTAATATTATTCGACAGAAATTATATAAGTATAAACAGTTTTGGTGGAAAAGAAAAATCAATCAAGAACAGAGAGAAAGGAAAGGAAATTAAAGATTGTTTAGTTAGAGGGGATTTGATTAATAAGTTGAAGAAGGAGATGTCAGGGGCACAAGGAACGCAACCAAAAGAGAGTTTCACGGCGACGGTGTATGAATCGAAACCGGAAGCAGAAAACAAGACGAAGATGGATATTTATTCCAAGGAAGACCAAGGCGGAATTAAGGTTGATAAACTTGAGGATAAGGTTAAGGATTCTCCCACCGGCGAAGGCGGTCCGGTTTTCGGCGCCGGACGTGATGAAGACAAGCAAGATTTGGGCGCCACCGGCACTGGTGCCTAATTAAGCTAATTTGATTAAGCAAAAAATCAATGGTGTACTGTAATAAATATGATTTTCTTTAAGTTAAAAAAAAATTGTTGGAATTCATGTAATTGTTTGTTTTGGAATGCTGGTGTGAACTCAACTGACAACCTTGTAACATTTGGCGCCAAATTATTCATCATAAAACCACGATTGTCGTCCGACTAATCTAGATTTGAATTGAATCAGTTGATTATTTTTCTTTTTTTTATTAAAAAAATTAAAATCACAAATTATCGCAGATGAATCAGAATTATTCTTTTTTTTATTAAAAAAAAAATTACGAATTATCGCAGATGAATCAGAATTAATAGACAATTTATTCACCACCTACGGATATCAAACCATCTATAGTTAGAGCACGACGACATTATCAAACCGTCTATAATGTACTCTCCCTGTCTTAAAATTATTGTTTACTTTGCCCAAAAAATTTTGTCTCAAAATTATTGTCCAATTTGACTTTTTATTGATCAAGTTACACATTTGTCCTTAGTAAGAAACATTATCCATAAAATCTTAGTGGTTAAACATTATCCGGTTGTTTAAGGTATAATATAGTTAAATTTAACCAAAAATAAAATCTTTTATTTTAGTAAAATTGGACCATAATTATGAGACGGAGGGAGTAATAGTTTGAGTTATGGAGGCTTTCAGCCTCTTCTTCTGTACCAAAAGAAGAATTAGTAGACAGTTCATGATATTTAGTTGCACGCGTAAACATATCAATGTACGTGTTTTGGATAATGTTCATGGTTGAAGAACGTGGAAATTCATCGACCCGGAGGCAGACACGCGTCTCAGAATAATGAAACGTACGTGTAAATCAAAACACAGTAGTCTAATCATCTAGTACTACAAATAAACAACAAACGTTAAGAGCTTATATCTAATGTATAAATTGAGTTCCCTTTCCAAGTTTAATCTACTACTAGGCTGAAGAGACAAAACGTGTTAGCGAGCTCAGTTCAAAAAGTGTTTGTTAATTAGTCCTGTGTTTTGCTTGAAGAAGGAAGGAAGATCAGTTTTCTTTTTCCGCAGGGTTAAGAAGATGTCAGGTGCACAAGGAGCAAGACCGAAGGATTCGTACACCGCAACGGCGTACGAATCGATACAAGAAGGAGAGAACCGAACCAGGACGGATATTCATTCCAGGGAAGATGTTGGAGGGATTCAGATCGACAAGATTCAGGACAAAGTGAAGGATCCTCTGGGCACTTCTGATCCGCATGTTCTCGGTTCTGGTACCGCTGCTGAACAAGAGAAGAAAGCCGAAGACAAGCAAGATCCTGGTGTAACCGGTACAGCTTGAATAACATAATGATAGTTATTCACGGATTTGAACTAAATTTAGTTTTAAGCGGTATCAAATTATCTGCTACTAGTGTTTGTTACTTCGATCTTTTTTTTTTCCCCCCTTTTCTTTCTAGATTTTAAACTTCGTAATATTCTAGAGCCTTGTATAACGCGCCAGTTATGTAAATTCAATAGGAATAAAAGTGGTGGTGGTTTTAGTCGTTTTCAAATTCGATCTTCATTTTGTATAAGAACGTTTTGTATGGTTTTTCCCCCAACCAAGGGTTGACAAACGCAGGTGGAATAGTCAAGTCATGATCTTTGTGTATATGCTTCCCGTGTCATGGCTGATGTGTAATCTGATGAGGTACTCTTAACCGTTTTCACATGTTACACACTCTCTTACAATAATTTTAAGACAAAAGTAAATAGTAAATTTGTTGTCAGTTCGTCAAGACATAAAATTAATCAAATCAAAACATTACAATTATGAAGTAAACACCAAAGCATAAAATTAATCAAATCAAAACATTACAATTATGAAGTAAACACCAAATGGAAAGTAGTGCCAAATTGAAGGGAAAAGAAAACAAAAATTGGTATAAAAGACTGAAATATCATATTTGGATTGTTTTTTTAGTGTTTATTTTAAGTTTTTTTTTTATATTGCGAATATAAAAAAATGTAAATATAAAATGTATTGAAATAAAATCATTGTTAATAAAAAAAAGTTATGAAAAACCGTTATTTAATTTTTTTTAGTGTTTACCGTATGTGGATTTTTATATTATGTGGATTTTTATATTGATAATAAAAATATATATTAAAAATAAAAAATATATATTGGATAGGACAATTATTAATAAAAAAAAAAGTATGGAAAAAACTATCAAAATAATGAGCCAAACAGATTACACGACTAAATCTGCTGAACTCTTATCCGTTTCATCTAAAGGCAAGGGGCCTAATTCACATCAACTGGTTCAAACCACTTCCATAACAAGCAATATTCAAGATAACTACGCCATTCAGCTACGATAACACTTGTTCTTTTACTGCTCCCAAGTCCCGTGGTGCTACATTAGGACATTCCGAAGTTTCAACATCTTGGAATGGCTGAAACAACTGGATTCTACTTTCAAAACTTGCAAAAGGTACGCAGTTTTAAGTTACAAAGTTTTTCCAGTCTCATCAACTAACTACTGTAATCATTACCGGTACCTAGGATTTCTATACTAGGAAAGATTTCATACGTTAAAACTTTGAAAAGTCTGTCCATCAAGAGGAAACTGTCCTCCATTTCTCGTTGACATTGCATAAATATATCTTAAACAACATGGTTTTCAACTCTGGAAAGCCGGAGGACTGGTAATTTCTTCGGATAGAATGGAAAAACTATGCGAACCTACGTTATATGGCAATGAGAACAAAATGTGAAAAGGTTTCATAAAACAGTTTCTAACATGCTTATATAGGTCTAACAAGGTTGCTGATTGGAAACGACATTAACAGAATGCAATGAACTTGAAATATGAACCTAAAGAGAATGTCAAAGTCACAAGTTTTACCAGGAAAATGGACCTAATTTCCAGGTTCAGTCCTATATAAACCTCATAGCTTGTCACCCTTCTGCAAACCAACCATTTCCTCGTTTATCCTCCCCACATTTGCAAGCTACATTCTTTAGATGTCGCCCCTAAAATGTCTCTTGTTCTTTTCGGCGCTTTTTCTTGTCGTGCAAACATTTGGAAATGCTGAGACATGCTCCGACTGTTTCACCCACTCCAGAGCTACTTACTACCCCAATTCAGATGAAAAAGGAACGGAAGGTAACAATTAGATCAAAATGTACAATAAGATATTAATCCTCGCATCATGCATTTATCAGTTTAAGCAACATGATATTATGCATGTCGTTTTTCACTTTATTCATGATCTGACATAATAACTGCAGTTGGTGAATGTGGTTATGGTGCATTTGGAGCAACAATCAATGGAGGAGATGTCTCGGCTGCATCAGACCTATATCGAGGAGGTGTAGGGTGTGGTGCCTGCTATGAGGTGATTTAAACAGCTGTAATTAGTTAGCCATAGTGGTCAGAACATGAAAATCAGAGTTCTTTTACATTTTCTCCATTCATGTGTGCAACCTCTAAATATGCTGTTCTTCATCAGGTGAGATGTACAAATAGCTATTACTGTTCGGATAAAGGAGTCACAGTAGTTATAACTGACCATGGAAGCAGCGATCATACTGACTTCATTCTAAGCAGGCGAGCCTTTAGTCGGATGGCACAGAACACGGATGCAGCAGCCTCGCTGCTAGCCCTTGGAATAATCGACATAGAATACAGAAGGTAACTTCTTGATTTAACAAGATAAAGATACCATCCGAATATCCAGAGGGATAAAGACCAACCTGTAATCATCTGAAACTATTATTTAACCTGAGTTTGGCATAAATTTCAAGTTCATAATATTTGAACTGCAACAAAAGTGATAAAAGTTGCTCCTGGATATAAGACTGAATCCATCGAAATGACAGGGCAACAAATATCACAACTTTGTTCACCTTCTGCCATGATAAACAACCGAATCACTCTTGGAAACATACACACCCAAAGAAACACAACTATCCTTCATCATAGCAATGAAGATAACCCACTAAGATCTCTCTCTCTCAGGGTCCCATGCAGCTATCCAAACAGAAACATTACATTTAAGATTGACGAGAGCAGCAATAATCCTCATTATATGGCTTTTGTAATTTGGTACCAGCAAGGAGAGAGTGATATTACTGCTGTGCAACTCTGTGAGGTAAGCTCTTAGACCATCATACAGGCATGGGTGGTACCTATTTTCTATAAAACAATTTCTAAGGTTTCTTCAAAAAAATAGAATAAATAAATAAAATAAAATTTCTAAGGCACCCCACCCCCAATCATACTCCAGTAGCCTCTTTTATATGCAGACACAAACTTTCGAATGTAAGTTACTGGACAGGAGCCATGGAGCAGTGTGGACAACTACTGCACCCCCCAGTGGACCCTTATCAATAAGGATGCTATTCAGTGCTGATGATGAAGATGAGAAATGGGTAGTTCCATCAAATAACATACCTGGAAACTGGAAACCTGGAGATATATATGATGCAGGAGTACAAGTAGATGCCTAGCCAAACAGACTGAAAGTTGTCAATATTTGGTTACTGCATACTAGTTTCTTCAAATTGAAGGACAATAATTTTTTTCATTGTATTGCCGTAGACTGATATAAATCACAAGAAGATCACAAGTTGGTGATTTTGATTTATTTTCCACCATTAAACAAAGAAAATTGATACCTTTCCAACTATCTAGGCAACTTTGCTACACTGTATGGAGAATGGAAATAATGATCTATGATATAGTAATCTACATAAAAGTACCTTGTCAATTTCTTCATAGATAATGACCAAAAGCATTTTAACTTAATAGCCTCGTAGATTGAAGTTGGATAAGTGCTTCTCAACATATAGCTGGCATTTGTCTCTATACTTACCTACTTTTCACATCTACCAGTAATGAATTTTTGAAAGATAACAAGATAGTGATGAACCACGTCTCACCTACAGTAGCTTCAGACACTTGTATACACCGCTTTTTAAACTGAAGGAGATTATAGTTACTCAAGGGAACTGCATTATCACAGCAATGAAAACCACCCTTGATGATTCATCCAGAGGCCAGGCCAAGATATTTTTAGATCACTCCCTTCCGATTGCAAATCTTAGAACACAAAATCATTCCGATATTAAGAGTAGATAGCAGAGTTTAAAGCAAACACTATGTTTCTTGATAAGAAATATCCGTTAAATTGGCAGATTCACTCTCTTCTATAAGAAAGTTTTCTTCTTGTGATTCAACTAATCATGAAGGAAATGTCCATACTCTCCTTTTTACCACAACCACCAAATTTATACAGTCTGGTTAGGACAACTTTAATTTTGTACCCATTTCTCTCAACATTGAGTACAAAATCCTCTTCTTATGGGCAGACTTATTTCTCGAATGTAAATCAAAATTTGAGTCTGTGACAGATGACATGCTAGACCCAGCTATCTTTTCTGCCCCCTTACCTTTCATCATCTTCCTGATGTGCTCAACATCGTCCCATCTTCCTTCAGTAGCATAGATATTGGATAACAACACATATGGCCCCAATTCCCCTGGTTCCATCTTGATTAATTGCTTTGCAACAATTTCTCCAAGTTTGAGTCTGGAATGCGATCGGCATGCAGAAAGTAAAGCCCCCCAAAGAGGCTTTCCAGTTTCTGCAGGAATTTCCATCACGAGTTCTTCGCAATCTTTCAACAAACCTGCCCGACCAAGGAGATCAACCATGCAACCATAGTGCTCAACCTTTGGTTCTATACCGTAAACTCTTTGCATTAAATCAAAGTACCACCATCCCTCCAGCACCATTCCTCCATGGTTACATGCGCTCAAAATGCAGGTAAAAGTTGCATCATTTGGCATCACTCCCCTCTTCTGCATCTCCATAAACAACTCAAGGGATTTGTCTCCTTGCCCATACATTCCATACGCTATTATCATAGAATTCCATGTCACGACACTTCTCTCTGGCATTTCATCAAAGATCTCTTCTGCCAAATCAATGGCTCCACACTTGGAGAACATGGATAAAAGAGTAGTCATAAGCAGAACATCTGGCTTGATACTTGAACTAGATTTTATATATGAATGGATCCACTTACCTCTATCAAGCTTCCCCATTTGTGCACAGGAAGTCAAAACACTTACAAGTGTAGCCTCATTAGGTTGAACATTCCCTAGATCCATCATTCTATCAAACAATTTCAAGCACTCGTCATAATCCTTCAACCTCACATAAAGAGCCAACATAGTGTTCCAAGAAACCACATTCCGTATACTCATTTGATTAAAGAACAACCTTGCTCCATCTTTCTCTCCAATCTTTGCATACCCTTCAATCATACAGTTCCAAGAAACGATGTCTCGGTAAGGCATCTTTTCAAATAATTCTTTTGCTGCAATCATGTCTCCAATCCCCGCATAACCTGAAATTATTGAGTTCCAACTGAAAATGTCCCGTTCTTGCATCCTATCAAAAAGAACCCGGGCAATAGTTACTTCTCCGTTCTTCACATATCCGTCAATCATGGTATTCCAAGTAACCAAATCTGAGTCAGAACTCATATCAAACACCTTCCTTGCATCTTCAACTCTAGAACAGACTGAATACAAATGGATCAAAGCATTTCTCACGTACAAATTCCATTGAAACCCAAATTTCACAGCTTGACCATGAATCTTTTCACCATGTTTCAGTGATGCCAAATCAGCACAGGCCTTAACCACTGTAGGAAAAGTATGATGATTTTGAAAGATACCATTTTTAAGCATCCCATCATAGTAGAACGCCAATGCTCTCTCCGGGCTGTCGAATTTCAGAAAACCCCTAATGATGGTATTACATAAAAATGCATCAGGGTTTTCAAGATTGTTGAATAATTTGACAGCAAGGGGAAGAGTAGCCTGAAAAGAACAGAGCTTTTTAATTGCTCTGCTGGCAGCAAGGGGATGTTCAATTAGGCCTAAAACAATCAGGTGAGCATGAACTTGGTTGAAATGGCGTAAATTGGGACCGATTGACTCCAAAATCTGCAGGACCGGATGGCTAAGCTGCAAAATAGGCACCCCATTATTGTATTGGGCATTGAGTTTTACTTCATTCGTGTCTGCCCAAAGTTTGGGCTTTGGTCTGGAGAGATTTTTCTGGGTGGCAATGAATTTTTCAAGATTTCTCGTGGATAGATTTAACGGAGCTGTAGAAGGTTTGAGACGAATGTTCATAGTTTTCTCTTTTCTGTTAGCATTTGGCGGGAATGCCCAGCATGTATCTCTCCCTTCTGCTTACCCTGAAGCCTAGAGTATAATCTTTTACTTTTATCTTTAAATGGGATTGTATCCTTTGGCTTTCCAATCTACTTTGATAGGTGTGATCATTAAGGACAATGATAGTACTCCAATTAAGTGATAGAAATAAAAAAAGTTTGGATCATCTAATCGAATTTATTCGAAACAATCTAAGATTGAATTTGTACATTACGAAGGGATATTATCCCAATTATATCATCTTCTAATTACGTTTTATCGCCAATATAATGATATTAATTCATTATAATCCTCCTGACCCTTGTACCGCTAGTGAAACCATATAATATGCTATGTACATCATATACGAAGTTTGAAACAATTCACTGACACTATGATTTTGCTAACATGATAATTTTGTATATGAGTGGAGGGCCTATGGAAGATTCATTGGAATGAATAGTTGAGCATAGTGTTTCCACTTTTCTTTCAAAAGCATTTCATGATTACCTATGTTATTTAGAAATACTTCGAGATTCATGATCACCAATTTTTTATAACCACAATATTAACCTAGTCATAAACCATAACAAAGGAAACAGGATTCCATGTGTCCAAACCTATTCAATGTGTCCTAATAAGGGCACACTTCCAATTAATTTGGAAACTTCTGATGAATTACATCTGGATATGCTTCCTAAACTTCACTTTCAAGTCTCAAACTTGTGAGTACCAAAAAAATGATCGAACTCAGTAGTTAATATCAAAGCATCCGCTTTGTCCAGGAATATTTCTGGATTCTTCTTCTCTTTATCTTCCTTTTCAATAGCTACAATACACGGTACTAAAAGAAACCCTCTTTATTCCTCAATTCATATTCAAGCTTCCTTTCTTTTTCCTCGTCCCATTAAATCAATATCATATTCTTCCCAGCTTTTGATTAGTTTCTTACAACTCCGTTGAATTGGCACCAATCAGGTTTCAGCTTTGTTGTTTGCCAGCTTTTTAGTTGCTTAGTTGAGCAGAAACTATTAAATTTGTCATAGGTTCGTTCAAGCTTCAAGATTTCTCCTTTAAGTTGCTGCTTATTAATTACAAGCAAATACTTTTTTGAGTGTTTTTCTACGACAATTTGAGATTCCAGAAGGATTATTGGCAAAATTGGTGATATTGGATGATGGGTTCCTCTAACAAGGTAGTTATATTATCCCTTTGGCACTTTTGAAGTACAATAATGGTTGTTAGATCAACAAAGTGATTGAATGATTTATCCTGCAGGAAGCAGTTGATGCAAGCTTGCAAATACATAAGCAGATCAAAGTTGTTTTTGTTATGGGTGAGGACTTACACTAAGATTGTTTCTGCCAATACAGAGTTCAACTATCTGCTTTCAACGTTTCAGAATTTGTAGTGATCTGATTCTCTTTAATTTGTTATCATGAGTACATAGTTTTTCAATCAATCAAATTCTCGCAATCCTACTTGTTTCTTAAGAGTTCTTGAATTTCGGAAGATGTATTCAGGTGGTCCAGGCAGTGGAAAAGGGACGCAGTGTTCTAAAATAGTTCAAGAATTTGGGTACACCCACCTAAGTGCTGGTGATCTTCTCCGAGATGAAGTCAAATCTGGTTCCGAGAATGGGTAAACCATTTAGTTCTGCTTCATGAATTTCTTGAGAAAATCGTATTATGTCTTTTCCTTTTTGTGGTACGATTGTTGGGTTAAGTAACTTTTGGATTGAAATTCTGAAGTAGAATTGCATGACATTATTTTACCATAGAAATGGAAACTGGTCCCAAGTCATATGATAAGTTTTTTGTTGATCTTTTCGGGTTGTGAGTTTCGAGTTGAGAGTACAGTATTAGGCCAACTCTTTGTTTATTGCTGCAGCGCCATGATCCATGATCTGATGAATGAGGGAAAGCTTGTTGCTTCGGATGTCATAGTTAGGCTGATTGTAAAAGCTATTCAGGAAACTGACAATGACAAATTCCTCCTAGACGGCTTCCCCAGAAATGAAGATAACTTGAAAGCATTTGAAAACCTCGTATGTTTATTTAACTTGAAAGCATTCTCAGCTGATTCCATCTCGGACCCAATCTTTTGTTCACTCTGACCTTATCAAAGCCACAAACTAAACAAGATGTGCAAATATATATTGCAGACAAAGATTGAACCAGATTTTGTACTATATCTGGATTGTCCTGAAGAGGAGATGATAAAGCGCGTTTTGTCAAGGAACCAAGTAAGTAGTGGTCTGGTGCATGTTTTACAATTCTCTGTCGAAGTCATTAGCTTAGGCCAAGTCAATCCTATCTATCTTTGCCATCACAGGGCAGAGAAGATGACAATATTGAGACCATAAGGAAGAGATTTCGAGTTTTTGAGGAGTCAACACTTCCTCTGGTGGATTATTATGCTTCAAAGGGGAAGTTAAGAAGGGTAAGGGAATTTCATATTCATACATCTTTGCGACATTTAGGGATTGAAGTTATTAAAAATTTAAAGCCATGAGCGGTATCTTTCTTGATTGCCAGGTTGATGCTGCAAGGTCTGTTGAAGAGGTTTTTGAATCGGTTAGGGCTATTTTCTCTTCAACAGAGGTGCGTCCAAGGCCTGATCGGCATTGTAATTGTTTTTGTAAGTATAGCAGTTCATTTGCACACTATGAGGTGTCCACTTCTATAGATTTTTTACCTTTCCAGCTAACATCCTTCTTAAAAAGGGTTCATGTTTAAGGTTTAGATGATAATCGTCAGCTGATCCATTGGTATTCTGCACTGCAGCTTTTTTACGGAGCTTTTGCAGATAGAAGCGAACTAAAATTTCATGCTGAATTCCTCCCCTCCTAAAGAAGCCAGATTGAGATCTTTTCAATCCATTTATATATGTTGGAATACCACAAACACAGCAGGTCCTGTTGATGTTGATGTAGACTTGTAGTCAAGTTTTTAAGAAGGAAAAAGGAAACTGTCTTTTTATATAGTTTGCATAAATAAGAATGAAAAGTTCCTTGTCTAGTTGTCTTTCCATTGCTTCAATGGAGTCCTGCAGTCCTCTTTAATCTTAACTGTGTTTTGGTCCTAGGCTTTTGGTATCATTTGTGACATGATCAACTTCCCCAATATACCAACATAGCATCTCCTCTCCATATTCTAAAGAACTATGGTACTTATTTCTCATCTGTCTCAAAGTAACTCAAAATATAAAAAGAATAATATATATTTTAAAATTCAATGTTGCTTTTTTCCTTTTGGGATCAGATGAAGTATTACCTAAATTATCTGCATTGTCCCAATTAAAATCTATAAGAACAACTCTAACGCAGAGTAATTGGCTCTTAAAAATAATGTCAATTACTAGTCAATCGGAACTTTTCCACGGTAAACGATGTAAAAGAAGCATTCGTTAGCTCTGTTATTTTTTCTCTTTCTATTGAAAAAGTAAAAAAGAGTGGCCCGGAAGAAGAAAGCATGTACAAGTCCTGTAAGTGATGGGTTAGAAGAAGTTCATTTTCTTACTAAATTAGTAATTAGCACAAAATAAAAACTGGTTTTACTTGAAATATGTTAGAAAAATTGAGTTTGACCGGATTGGGACCAATTTTTACATATGTACAAGTTCTGTAAGTGGTGGGCTAGAAAATTCACATTTTCTTACCAAATTAGTAATTAACACTGGAGCAAATACTCGTTTTACTTGAATGTTTCATAAAAATTGAGCTGGACTGGATTGTGATCACTTTTTACATATGTCCATTGAGGTTGCTCTAAGAGCAAGTGCAATGGTAGTAAGTGGCTTTGAAACGCGTGCCGCATACAACTTCAATCAAACCTCCCCCATTGGAGAGAGTTGAGTGATACTTCTGCGTCAATTTCTTAAAGCAACCTCAGTAGTTTGAGTAAAAAAGTGGCCCTAAGCCATGTTACATTGGATTTTCATGACTCATTACCGTAAAATATTATTTTCTCCAATGAAAATTACCGGATTGAGTAACAATTGTGGACCCATTAATTGTTTTCTTCCTTTCTCCTTTCTTATTTAGCGGCCCACCATATTTAGTATTTTCAGAGCTTTTTCAAGTAACAACAGGAAGCACGTTGTTTTATTTTTCAACTCCTTGCACTGGATTGGGTGGTAACTGACACAATTTTTTAGGCCTGCTACTGTAGATGCTCTTACTTCCCTACAAACTCGTTCAAAATGTGGCGCAAAAGGTGGATCATCCTGATTTTGGGATAGAAATTGGAGTGCTAAGGAGATAAGGGTTCAGAAATTGGCCCGCTTAACTTACTCATTTTTTGTAAATCCAGTACAAGAAGTTATACAGTACAAATAGTGGGATTATTTGTGCTTCTGTGGAGAGAGGAACTCCACTTTTTTACTTCCACCAATGGACTTGCTCTAAATTAGAAGATGGTCGCAAATGAAGTGAATGTGAAGTATAAAAATATTCTAGTACTCAAAAGATTTTAGAGAATGAAGCGATTTCGGAAATCGAACATTGAATAAGGGATGGAGTGGTGTGTGAACATAGAGGTATCTGGTAATGATTTTGGAACGTCTGATTAAGAATTGGACAATCTTATTTTTTCTCATGGAATGGAATTTCATCCCAAAAAAAAAAAGTAGGAAAAATTAGATGCAAAAAATTTGCCTGAGAAAAGATTGGGGGGATTAAAAGAACAGTTTTCCAAATAAAGAAAGAAAGAAACCCATAAAAGGGATGGTGAACAAGTCGTAGGCTTGAGGAACTGAAAGCGTTTTATCAAGAACAAAACAAAACAATAAAGCGCAGGAAGGAGTCCCATTCACTCACGTCTTCAACGGTGAGTTCCGTCCGGCGTCATTTTGACAATGGAGTTCTTAGACGAGGATGCCCGACCAAGATTCGTCCTCCAATCCAAGCCAACACCGGAACCCGCCCAATCTTTGCCGGATTCCCAAGCTCTCCGTAAACCCACGCTCTTTCTTTCCCTTTCTATTTCCTCTGTTTTATTCGCTCTCGCAGTCTTTTACTTCACCTCGGAGCCCTTTCGATCCATATTGATTTGGTTCTCTCTATCCCTCCTCGTCGGCCCATTTGCCCCACCCGAACTCACCGCCGGCGACATTCGCGTTGGCCTTGGTCCGGCCATTCCCGAACCCGTTGTAGAAACCGAGATATCTGATGACAACAGTAAACGTAACAGTAGAAGATCAGCAAAATCGACGAGACAACCAGATGGGCCGGTATATGGATCTGGATCGTCCGTATCGGGTGATGTTTTGGATGGGGTGGGAAAAAATGGTATCCCGGCGAATGGAAATGGGTCGGTGGTGAAATTTGAGAAAAGTGTGGGAAAAGTTGTGAATGAGGAAGTGGATTGGGATGAGGCGGATGAGGAATTGTTGAAGAAGCTAATGGGGAAGCATCCTGTTGGGAAGCCGGGGCGGTGGGAGGCAATAGCTCAGGGTTTTAATGGGAGACACTGTGTGGAGAGTGTGATTCAGAGATCAAAGAAACTGGGAGAGAAGAAAGTTAGTGATGAGGATAGTTATAAGAAGTTTTTGAAAGACCGGAAGGCGGTGGATAAGCGTGTTCAGGAAGAGAATGACAGTAATGTTGTTGGAGGATCGGGGAATTCGGATGTGAAGGGAGAGAGTAGTGGATGGACTCCTGGGGATGATCTAGCATTGCTCAATGCTTTGAAGGCTTTTCCAAAGGATGTGGCAATGAGGTGGGAGAAAATCGCGGCCGCCGTGCCTGGAAAAACTAAAGCAGGTTGTATGAAAAGGGTGTCAGAGTTAAAGAAGGATTTTAGGAGTTCCAAGGCTGCTCCTAGTGAGGCTTAGACAAAGGAATGGTGGTTACCTTAAGGAGGTAATTTGTGTGACCTAGATATGTTATGTTTTCATACACAATTTTGAGATAAAAAAGTCTTAGGCATAGGTTTTGATCACAGAAATCATATAGTCAATTTTCAGGATAGAACTGCTATTATTTAATTGGCTGGCAATTCTTTGCTATCAATGTAATTTGTATGAACAATGACAGTCTAAGCCATGTTATTTTGATTGTTTCATCATTTGTTTTGTGCTGATTTAGAATTTCAAAAGGTATTCTATTGATGATTTATCTTGGCACAGCTTGCGTGATCCAGAAATGTGTTTGATGCTTACTATCGATTACTGTTATATTGCTCCCAATGTAGATTCTCTAGAGTTAAGCTTTATGTCAGTACATATGGAGTATAACCAGAAGCTTTACCCTTGATTAATTCTATAGTACAGTGGCTTCAGCCGTAGTAGAAATTTTTTATTCTTGGCATATGATGTTCACTTGAAATCTTTAAGATTACAAAGTTTAATAGAAAACTGGAAGATTGTCTGGAGCAAATCAGAAAGCCTGCATTTACTGTTTTTCTTTTGTGAGCTGTAAGATCAACTCCTTTTTTCTTTTTTTTTTTTTGGTAAACCTGAAAATCGTCGGGGGTTGTGTCGTATTTCATCCTGGGGGTTTCTTCCATTGTCATTCACTAATCATGTAGTTGTTATTGGTGTTGTTGGTCTATCGTTGTGGAAGAATAAGCAGCTATGAGTCCAATGATTAAAGCTTTTAAGGATAGAGTTACGGTTGATGCAAAATTCAGGGGACTTCCTGTCTGCTTGGTCCGATTGGTACCAGAGAAGCCTTGAAATTTACCTGGTCATAGTTTAGGCATTTATTCTGTGGTGATAATTTTTCCCCATGATATTGAAGGTTTAATGACATTAAGATTTCATTTTTGTTTTTGTTGTTATTTTCCTTTTTTCTTTCTGGTACAATGCTACATTGTATTAGTTGTATTTAAATTAATTCGAAGCTGTTGGGTTTGATTAGTAAAAGAAAAGGTCTGGACCAGTAGAGGGAGAAGTACCTGGATCAGGAGATAGACAGTAATTCTATGTACCCTAATTTTGTTGCTATTATGGGATTGAAACTGATCATTGACTATGTGGCAGACCAAGAAAAAGAAAGAGAAACTTTCTGCAGACGATGATGGTCAGCTATTCTTACGTCATTAATGAATTATTTCACTCGAATCGAAAGTAACTCCTTGTCTACATTCACTCCTGTTATGTTTCTTACCAAAATCTAAAGGATCCTATCTTATTTATTTCATTCGAATTGAAAGTAACTCCTTGTCTACATACACTCCTGTTATGTTTCTTACCAAAAGGTAAAGGATCCTATCTTATTTATCATTTGTTAATCTTTCATTTTCATAGTCTTAGGGAGTGGATTGTGATCCTACCATCCTGGATGTAGGTCCAAGAATCATTAAGTCATACTTTAGAGAAGAACTGTTAATATAAATTGGTGGCTTTTGTTTATAGTCATTGAAACGTGTATAAATAATGGCATCATTAACTAAGTCATTGATCAATGTAAATTTCTGATTAAGATTCGAAAAGGTCTTTTTGAGTATTGTGTTTTGATGCCTGATATTGGGTACTATCTTACTGTTTTCGGTGTTGATCTGGAGTTAAGACTAGTGTCAATACAGAAATCTTTCCGCGTAACGGAGTCTTCTCTCTATTTCATGTTGGGATATAACTGGAAGCATTAGTAGGCTTCAGCTGTCATAAAAATAATTGTGAATCTTGTCAATTTGTGGCCTAATAGTTAAAAATACAACAGGAAAGAAAAGTAGTGTGTCAGAAAAAGAGATCCCTAGATTTGCTGTTGGATTGCAATAAAACTACTGACTGTGGACCATACAATATTACATTCATTCACTGTCATATTATTGTTATGGTGCGGTTCTGATATTTGTGAAACTTCCAATTTTTAGTCAACAGCAATGAGGCTGATGGTTATAGTCAGAATCTTAGTTCTTTTATGATCAGAGCGGGCATTTTTGCTTTCTAAAAAAGAAAAAAAAATTAAGCTCCATTTTTTCTTTGCTTGGAAGCTGTACAGAAATTTCACCCGGCTGTGTTTTAATGCAGTACTAGACATTTGTATCAAATGACAGCCACCGATTTCTAATGACATTAAAAATCTCCATATATCTCACATGAGGAGAGTTGAATTGTGGAGGTAGAGTATGTTGATGTGCTGCAGACTCTATCATCTGGTTGATGTAAAATATGATGTAAAAAATGTAGACTTTTTTTTTTTTACCGCATGATGAGTTTGCCAGACTTTTTTTTTTTTTTTTTTTTGTTTTTTTTTTTCTTTTGAATCTGTTGTCGAATTGACTATGCATGAGGCTACAGCTTGAGCATGATGCTTAGGTTTAAACCCAGAGCATGCAGGTCTTCAAAGCAGACTAGCGGAGCATGTCTTTCTTTTTGTTCTTTTTTTTCCTTTCAGGAATTTACTGTAAGCATATATGAAGAAGTCTCAAATCATCAATGATTAGTTTATTGCAGGATCAGTCTCTTGCTCTTTCAGTCTGTTCAAAGAAAATGGATCATTTGGCCCAATAAAGTAACATCTATGCCATAGTGTTGTAAATTACTCACTAGATTGCAACCTTTTCCGATTGAAAGAATTCATAGTTCTAATGGTGGCCCTGTTCAGGAATCCCTGGATCTATGTTTATTTTCAACTCCCTGAAGCGTTTAGTTGATTACTGCCCTTCCTCGTCTCAGGGTGCCTAGGTATCCACTGTAAGCCTTTTCCTGCCTTTCACTTATGAAGGCCATCCTCTAGGTACGCTGTTTTCCTGTGAAAAAAATGGAAGACTAAAGGCTCACCTCTAGTTGGGTAGGTGTTCTGAAAGTCTTTCCGTCAACAAGAAACGGGTAAATTAATGCGAAAGTGAGGTGTAAAGACTACTTGACTTTCATGAATAAACAAAAGGGACTGTCTTTGATCTTTGATGCTCATATATTTAACCATATATGGCCAAATGGTCTCGGATGCTCATGTATTTCACCATATGGCCAAATAGTCATTATCAGAGCAATACAATCCTCCCTTTGTCATCATACCACACGCTTAAATTTTGATGAAATAATTGAGGAAAACCACCGTGTTAAGTATACTATACTCTTTTCTTTTATTGACTGTTAGGACCAGGATTAAGTGCTCATAAAATTATTGTCTCAGAACTCAGAATCAACCCAACTCTAAAAACTTAGACATTGGTTCAAGGAGTAATAACAGAGTAGTAAAAAATGGCAGATCAAGTTTTAAGTGTTCTTATGTTCTTATCATGCAGGTTGTCAACCTTTCTTAGCGAAAAGGGAAGAATCCTTGGAGGGCTTCGACAAGAGGTCCAACTCATCCGTGACGAATTTGGTCATATGAAAGCTTTCCTCCAGAAGATAGCAGAATCCAGAAATGAGCATGATCCCCAGCTCAGAGAGTACATCAGGCAAGTGAGAGAATCTGCTTATGACACTGAAGATCTTCTAGATGAATTTATGCTTCTCTTTGCTCACAAGCCATCAGTAGGAGTCCATGGTTCTGTTCTTCGCAGTTTCAAAACTATAAAAAATTTGCCTGCTCGTCATCAACTAGCGACCACTTTGGAAAGCCTCAAGAGTAGAATTAAAAACATTTCTGAAGCTCGGCTTAGATATGAGTCGCACTATGCTGAAAATCTAGTCCAAGTCCAAAGCTGCCAATCAGCAAGCAATCCATGGAGACGTAATAAAGATGATGATGCACTTCTGGCGGAAGAAGCTCTACTGGTAGGTATAGACAAGCCGAAAAAACAACTCATCTCGCAGGTTGTTGAAGGCGACTGCCAGCTCAAAGTTATTGCGGTGCTTGGCATGGGAGGACTTGGCAAAAGCACTCTAGTCAAAAGGGTCCTTGATGATGCATCTGTTAAGAATAAGTTTCAAATCCGTGCCTGGGTCACCGTCTCTCAATCATGTGACTTTGAGAAGCTCCTCAGAGGCTTGATCCGCCAATTACAAGCTTCTTTTAACGAACCAGTGGTCTCACTGATGGACTCCATGGATATCTATGACTTAAAAGCAGTTGTGAAAGACCTTCTCCAGTGAGCAAGGTATGTAATTGTGTTTGACGACCTGTGGGACAGAGAATTTTGGGATGCATTCAAGCTTGTCCTTCCTGAAAACAGCTTTGCTGGCAATTGTGTTATGGTGACAACACGAATTGCTGATGTAGCTTTGGCTGCTTGCAAAGGATCTCAAGGGTTCGTTCACAAGATGGAGCACTTGACTTTTGAAGAGTCCTGGACTCTATTTTGCCGTGATACATTTCAGGACAACTTTTGCCCTGCCCATTTGAAAAATATTGTTGAGGTTATAGTGGGGAAGTGTGAAGGCTTGCCATTGGCGATTGTTACAATTAGTGGACTTTTGGCTACAAAAGATGTAAGCAGGATAGATGAATGGGATCGGGTTAGAAGCAGGCTTGGGGATGAATTTGAGGGCGTGGGAAAGTTGGAGAGAGCTAAAAAGATACTCCGTCTCAGTTATGATGATCTGCCATCAACTCTTAAGACTTGTCTGCTGTATACTAGCATTTACCCTGAAGACTATGAAATACAAGGCGATCATCTGATCCATTTGTGGGTTGCCGAAAGATTTGTTGAAGGAAGAGCAGGAATGACAGCAGAAGAAGTTGGATGGGATTATGTCAATGAACTTGCTAATAGAAGCTTAATCCAAGTGAGCGATGTAAGCTATGACGGATCACCCTTTTTTATTCATATCCATGATCTTCTGCGAGAAGTTATTGGTTCTGAGTCAAGAGAGCAAAACATGATGACCATAGTGAGCAATATTCAGCAGACAATGTGGCCATCTTACAAGGCAATGCGGCGTCTTGTATTCCACAATAGTCCCCCCGATAACACCATCGCAGAAAGCTGCCATCACTTTTGTAATCTCCGATCTTTGATTACATTAGGATGCAAACAACCACTGTCTAAGGCCTTGTTATCTGAGCTTATGTCCAGTAAGTTTTTAAAAGTACTTGATTTGGAAGCTGCTCTTTTGGTAGTTATTCCTAGAGAGATTTTCAACTTGTTTCACCTGAACTATTTAAGCCTGACTAACACGAGAGTCAAAACAGTCCCGAAATCCATAAAGCGGCTTCAAAATCTTGAGTGTTTAGATCTCAAAGGGACGTATGTGAGAGGTTTACCTATGGAAATTCTGAAGTTGCCCAAGCTTCGGCACCTTTTAGTGAATCAACATATTGATTTTTTTGATAAAGATTTGGGATGTTATGGCTTTAAAGCTCCATGTAAAATGGGAAAGCTTCTTGAGTTACAAACATTAGAAAGAATAGATGCATCAGAGAATGATAAGACACGGATACTGACTGAGATAGGAAAGCTGGTTCAATTACGAACATTAGGGATTACTAATCTGAGAACAACAGATGGTAAGGAGCTATGTTCATCCCTTGAGAAGCTTACCAATTTGCGGGAACTACGTCTCACGTCTTCAATTGAAAAGGATGACATTATGCTGAATTTGAATCATTGTCTTCCTGCCTCATCTCTCCAATCTCTTTGTGGTCTTTCTTTGAGGGGCCGCCTAGAAACAATGCCACCATGGATAAAATACCTTCAAAAGTTGGGCAGTATAAAGTTGACTTGGAGTGGTTTACGGGAGGATCCACTTGAATCCCTTCAACATTTGCCTAACTTGATAGAGGTTAGTCTTATTCAAGTTTATGAAGGAGAAAGTGTGTGTTTCAAGGCTGGAGGTTTTCCAAAGCTTAAGAAGTTGTATTTAAAGAACATGAAAGGGTTGATCTGGTTAAGAGTGGAGGAAGGTGCAATGCCTCATGTTAAACGGTTAGTTCTGCAAGAACTTCCGTTGGTGACAGAGCTACCTTCTGGCATTGAACACTTGAACCAGCTTGAGGAGCTGGAATTGTGGGCTATGAGTTCTCAACTCACAATGAAGCTGGAGTCCGAGACCTTCCCAGAATACGGAAACATCGCCCACATTCCTAAGGTCCTGATTGGTTTCCTAAGAGATGGAAGATGGACTTCTCATCTACTCTTTCAGAAAACACAAGTACAAGTTGAGCAGACTTTGGATGCTAATCCCATCTCTGGCGGTGAATCCACCAAACTCTCAACTTGGTTTGCTCATTTTGTTAATTTGCCTTCATATTTGACATTGCCTTTTATTCTCTTTTCGCTGGTTACCAGCTTCTTTCTTTTCATTTGGACAGAAAGAGGTCTGTAGTTTTGTGTGTCCTTTCCCTCAATGTGTCAAGTATAGAGTATACACACTGTGTTATTCGATCTGAGTTCAGCCTGCTTCTCCTAATTCACACGAATTGACAGATTATGATGAAAAATGCTGTTTTCCCCCCTGTTTTGTTGTTAAATACATAGGACCAAAGGTCCTTACATATAGTTTATTTTCTGGGCATTATGAAGTTACATTGTCGAATAATCAATGTGTTAAACTTTGACTATCATGCTGGCTGTTTCATCTTTACAAGCATCTAAGGATTGCATGCATGGATAGCTATATTACACGTAGTCAAATTTACTTTGCCCAGTAAATGCAAATCTGCGGCCTCCCCTAACCTCGTCTCAGTTGCATTCTTCTCTAATATCAAGATGGTCCTATTTTCTTGGAGTCGATTCCGTTGTTTCCATATGGTGAATTTAGGTCGCTAATCACATGATGGAAGAAGTTACTAAAATAAAAGCACATCATCACACTATGAAGATAGCTTACATTGCTGATCCATTTGTATTGAGACTTGTGTGAATGCATGAGATCTTCCTATCTGATTTAGTAAATCCTTGCTGGAGCATTAATGCCTTACTGATTAAATTCAAGAGTCCAGGTCCAGCCATAGCAGAAGTTGTGGCTTTTGTTGCATTTCTTTCTGTTGTTTTTTGGAATTTGCCCATCAAAATCATTCATTAGCGATTCTCTACTACTACAACCGAAAGAAAGCTATATACTCTTGACCTGAAAATCATTGGAGGTATTCAAGTACAGCTTCGGAAATTAAATTTCAGGCAAGTTTCTGTTCTTTGTCACACATCAATGGTACAATTTTGACTCTGCTGTCATTCTGATCTCTGCTAAACTCCTAGTTTCTGGTTGACGGATTGAAGCCAGCAATTACTGCTTTAAAAGGATAGATTTGGAGATCAGGATTTTTATTAATCCTACTTGACCTGAGTGGTACTTGAAAAGCCTTGAATCCGGTCAAAGTTCAGGCATTTGTATCGTCGTATGATGATGATTGTTGTATACCAAAATATTGTGATGTTATGACACTGAAAATGATCATGAGTTTGTGACACTCCAGTTCACTGACTGAGTCAATGGATGCAGTGAAGGCAACCCCATTATTGGGTCTTCGTCAATTTTTCCTGCGGAAAAACGCTAAGAATGTCAATGCTTTTGTTAAACAAAAACGTGTGGGGACCTTTCACTATTCATCCTTTCACTATTCATTGATGATAGAAGCATGTTATTCATTTGTCATATTTCCTCAGTTCCATTATCACCCGGATCGCCAAATTTCGATAAACAAATTTCAAGAGAGCTTAAAGATCAAAAATATGGCAGAAGCATTACCCTTTGTGGAATTTGCAGCAAATAAGCTCTTGACATTTCTGAGTGAAGAGGGAAGCTTGCTGGGAGGACTTCGACTTGAGATCAAACTCATTAGCGATGAGTTTGGTCATATGAAGTCCTTCCTCCAGAAGGTGTCAGATGCCGATGGAGAAGATCACGATCCTCAGCTTTCTGAATGGATCAGGCAAGTCAGGGAAGTTTCTCAGGACACTGAAGGTATTCTGGATGAATTTGTGCTTCATTTCACTAGCCATCGTCCCGCCGCTTGGCGATTCTGCAGCTATGTCCAATGGGGTTTCACCTCCATAACACATTTGCGAACTCGTCGCCGACTTGCTACCAAGTTGAAAGATCTCAAAGTTCGAGTAAAAAATATTTTTGACTCACGTCTTAGGTATGAATCACAGAATGTCAACTTGTTTCCGCGATTCTCTGAGAATGTTGCCGCGATCAATGCCTGGAGCCATAGAAAAGATGATGATGCGCTTCTAGCTGAAGAAGTTCAGCTTGTGGGCATCGCAAAGCCCAAACATCACCTCATTTCTCATATCCTTGATGCTGAATACCACCTACTTAAAGTTATTGCAGTGCTCGGAATGGCAGGCCTTGGAAAAACCACAGTAGTTAAAAGAGTTTATGATGATGCTGCTGTTAAATGTCATTTTCAGATTCGTGCTTGGTTTCATGTCTCCCAGGCGTGTGACTTCCAGGGGCTCCTCAAAGGATTGATTCAACAAGTATTGTCACAATTCAATGAATCCGTACCTACGTTGGACTCAATGAGTATTTATGCACTGAAAGCATTATTGAAGGACATCCTCCAGCGAGGAAGGTACCTAATTGTGTTTGACGATATTTGGGACACAAAGCTTTTGGATGAATTCACATTTGTGTTTCAAGAAAATTGCTATGGTGGCAATCGTGTAATACTCACAACCCAGAAAGGTGATGTAGCATCTGTCTCTAGCTTAGAATCTCACCACTATGTCTACAGAATGGAGTTTTTGAACTTTCAAGACTCGTGGACACTATTTTGTCGAAAGACATTCAAAGGCAAGGTTTGTCCGACCCATCTGAAAAATCTTGCTGAAAGTATAGTGAGGAAATGCGAAGGCTTGCCATTGGGTATTGTCACAATTGGCGGTCTTTTAACTTCGAAAGACTCGAGCAAGATAAAAGAATGGGAACTGATTCTGCATAGGCTTGGGGATGAATTTGAGGGATCTGGAAAGCTTGACAGATTGAAAAGGATACTTTCTCTAAGTTTCCATGATCTTTCTCCCACACTTAAGTCTTGTCTTCTGTATACTCGCATCTTTCCTGAAGATTATAAGATACCTTGCCGTTTTCTAGTGAATCTGTGGATCGCTGAAAGATTTGTTGAAGAGACAGAAGGACAAACAGCTGAAGATGTTGGATGGGATTATCTCAAAGAGCTTGCAAATAGGAGCCTGATCCAACTGAATGAGGTACTTTACAATGGCTTGTACAAATACATTCATATTCATGCTCTTTTAAGAGAATTTATCACCACCAAGTCAAGAGAGCGAAACATGGTGACCTTACTTAGTACCATACAGCAAACAAATACAGGATGGCCTTTCAGAAAAGAGATACGTAGACTGGTTTTTGATCATAATCTCCCAGAAATCATCATTAGTCCGGAAAGGCAGCATTGTGTTTCAAATATTCGATCCATAATTAATTTTGGAGAGAAAAAATCACCATCTAAAGCTGTTTTGAACAAACTTTTGACAAGCAAATTGTTATCAGTTGTTCAGCTAAGAGGTATTGATTTGGAAGAGATTCCAAAGGAGATTTTCAAATCGTCGCACCTCAAGGTTTTAGGCATAAGTGGCGAGAAGATTAAAACTGTCCCGAAGTCCATCAAAAGGCTGCGAAATCTCGAGTATTTGAATCTGATAGGGTGTCAAATAAAGGAATTGCCCATGGAAATCCAGAAGCTTCAGAAACTTCGTCACATTGGGTTATATCAGCGAGCTAAGGATACCTCACCCGGAGATTTTCATTATATTGGATTTGAAGCTCCAAGTGGAATGGGAGAGCTTCATGAGTTACGAACATTACGTATTTTAGATGTAGCAGAGAGCTGTAAGACTGGAATTGTGAACGAAATCGGGAAGCTAACGAAGTTAAGAGAGTTATGGATCACAAAGTTGAGAAGGGAAGATGGAAAGGAACTCTGCTGTTCACTAGAGAAGCTCACAAATCTGCAAGAACTAGTTATCGCGTCTTCACATGAAAAGGATATTGAGGCAGTAACATTGGATCTAAATCATCCTATTTCTGCCTCGTCTCTTCAATCCCTTTGCTGGCTCAAACTGTTTGGCTGTTTAGAGAAGATTCCACCATGGATGGGAAATCTTCAGGGATTGGAAAGGATAACTTTAAGTTTGAGTAACTTAACTGAGGATCCGCTCGAGACTCTCCAACATATTCCCAACTTGTTTGACGTAACTCTCATCCAAGCATACAAAGGGGAGAGTTTACGTTTCAAGGCTGGACGTTTTCTAAAGCTCAAGAGATTGTTCTTAGGGTGTATGAAAGGATTGAGATGTGTGAGAGTTGAGAAGGGTGCAATGCCTGGTATCAATACACTGATTATGGCAGAACTTCCATTAGTAAGGGAATTACCTTTTGGTATTGAAAACTTGAGGCAGCTTCAAGAGGTAGAACTATGGAGTATGAGTACTGATCTCAGAAACAAGTTGGAGAATGCCGCGGACTCAGAAGAAGAAAGTGAAGATAGCAAAAGAATCTCCCACATTCCACAAGTGATCATTTGGTCTCGGCAAGGCGCGCAATGGAAATGTCGCCAGCTAACCCGAAGGAAGGATCTCAAGAACTTCATCCGGAGATCTCAAGTACTGAAATGCAAGTCGAACGAACTTCACTCAAGTTGTTCCCTTTTTTGGCTGTTGCATTTGCCCTTCTAATCCTCCTAGTCATCTCTGTTGCTTCAACCACGACTAACATGTCATAATTATGCTCTCTCTCTCTCTCTCTGTGTTAGTCTTGGCTTCCTTCGTCTCTCTTTATTTTTACATTAGGAAATGCCTGTGATTTTCTTCTTTGTTTCTTCCCTCAAAGAAGTTCCTTTGGGATTACCTCAAAGAACTTGCAAACAGGAGCCTAATCCAATTTCATGTGTTACTTTAAATTGGCTTATACATTTACTTTCAAATTCATCATCTCTTGCGAGAAGTTTTAGCTATACTTAGTGATGCGCGCCCCCAACAAGAACCGGGGAGGTTATACGTAAACTTGTCTTTCGCCAAAATAACCTCCTGTAAAGGATTATTAGCTCAGAAAAATATCATTCTATTAATAATATTCGTTCTGTAGTTAATTTTGGAGCAAAAAACTCACCATCTAAAGCTGTAATAACCAAGCTTTTAACCAGAAAGTTGAGCTTAGATATATCGCTTTGGAAGAGAATCCACTAGAGATTTTCAAATCATATATTTCACCTCATTCGGGATAAGCGGGGAGAACATTGAATTAGTCCCAAAATCCATCATAAAGGTTTTGAATCTTGAGTATTTAAGTCTGATAGGGACTACAATGTCAAGGATCTACCCATGGAAATCCAAAAGGTTCACAAGCGAGCTTTGTCATCTATTATAACATCACCCAGCTAGATTCAAGGATTCCCGCGGAATGAGAGAGCTTTAAAAGTTGCAAACGTTGCACATGATAGATGCAGCGGATAAGAATCAGACTGGAGTTGTGAATGAGATCCGGAATTCAGCCAAATTAAGACAGTTATCCATTGAAAACTTGAGCAAGAAGATGGAAAGATAGAACATTGACGATGAGCGGCAATTTAGTTGCTAATAAATGATTCCCCTCTTTCTAATAAGTTACGAGTTCGAGTTATGTCAGGATGATACAGAATCTTTTGTGCTACTTTTATGTGACATTCAATTGCACTATCTAATAACTTTGTATAATTTCATTTTTTGGGTTTTTGTGCCACTTTTATGTGACATTCTGTTGCACTGTCCAATAACTTTGTATAAATTTCGTTTTTTAGGTTAATATTTACAATATTCATAATCACATTTGAAGTTATATATTTTAGAAATAAGGGTTCACTTTTTTGGATTAGAATTCACCCTAAAAACAAACCCATTTGAACTTAAAGTACAAAAATAAAAAATAAAAATTTGCAGCTCTAGGTGTGGCCGGGCTTTTCCGGATACATAAAGTAGATCGGGATCCGACCCAATTGGTTGGATCTAAATCATTCGAGTTCTGCTTCTTCTCTTCGCTCTCTTTATCCGGTCACATAATATGGTCGCTTAGATAAGATCCCGCCATGGATAAGAAATAATCTGTGGTTGGAAAAAATAATGAAAAGGATGAAATAATCGGTCCGCTGCCAAGACTAGTTCAAGTTCGAGAAACGGTCTAATCGACTATTTAAAAGTTTCTGGGCCAATTATGCAAGTTATTTTTTTACTAAGAAAGAGTCTCACTAGTAGGTAACCCTAGGATCAACCCTTTATATCAAAGATAAACTTTCACACCACGTTATACTTCCATTATTATCTACCTATATTATAATTGGAGAATAGTAGTAGTAGCCACAAATCAGCGATAAGGTCTGAAGCGCAGATGGAGGCTTCTAAGAGAAGGTTGAAGTCGGTTTTCGTGACAACTGAATCTGATCAATTGACCCGTGCTTATTCCGCCCGTAAAGCTGAAGAAAGGAAGAGAAGCTCGAAGAACGCAAGAATCGCAGCACCTGAATACGAGTATTGTGATGCGATTGCGGATTTATATCCAAAAGTTGATAAGGGAACCGCAGCTCTTGCTTTTGCTGTCAAGGAAGGCGTTATGGTAGCTATTGATCATTATTCAAGTGGTAGAGCGAATGCATCAAAAGAATATGCCGGCAACATTATTAATCTTGATACTCACATACTGGTCGCTGTTTCTGGAGATGTTCCAGACCCTCGATCTTTTCTCAGGGATCTGAAAACGAAGTACCTCGGACATAATCCAGCTGGGAAGAGAAGCACCGTTAAAGAGGCCTCATATTGGCTTGCTGACACCCTGTGTTCTCACAGTGACAAAGGTTTCAAAGTAGACCTACTGGTTGCTGGGTGGGACAAAGCTAATGGTTCTAGTTTGTATCAAGTAAATGGTGAGGGAATCCTTTTTCAACCCAAGTTTTTCGCGATTAGATCCGGTTCATGAATCGCTGAGAGTCGTTTTTACAGGAAATCTGATTATGAGGAGATATTTTGTATGTCTCCTGGTGAGGCTGAGAAGTTTGCTAGAAAATTGATTTCCACAACTACATGTGAAGTTGTATGCAAAGTCCATATGCGTTTGTGTGGTGAAACTGGTGGTTAGGGGAGTGGGTACCACGTTGGACCCGGTGGGTGGAAGGTTATCTTTCGTAATGTATTGTGAGGGAACCAGCTATGGAGACGCGTCCGCATGATCCGATGGGGGCGAAGTGGCCTTCTAAGTATTCAAATCCGGATGATCTGATTATCAAGGCAATATGGAGACGTTGAGTGGAAGGCCATCACTGCAATGACTTTGCGACAGAAGCAGCAAAGAAAAGCTTCCCTTATGAACGAAGCTTAATTTTAAAGGATGTACTTGTGCGTTTTACTTGGTGCTTGGAACTTTAATAAAAATGTAAAGGTGTTTTTTAAGTTTGAAAGTGGACAGCTTATGATAATTCTGATTCCTGCTTAAAAAAAATAATAATAATTGGAGAATAGTTTTTTTTATTAGTATAACCAATCCATATTCTTCATTTACCTTTACTTTACACAATATTCAAGTTTAATTTTATATTCCCAATCCTATTATCTACTTCGTTTATTTTTTTAATCTTCTAGGAGTCGTTACACCTGGCCGAATTTTACGTCAAAGTCGATAAAATATATTACTTTCTCCAACCTTCATATATTTTTATACTGCTTAAATATCTCATCATCGATGATCAAGTAGTGGTGCAATCCTGCTTGACGAGTCCAAATTAATACGGCCCGCGACTAGGCTGGTCTAAGTTCGGTGAGCGGTCCAACCGGCCTCTGGAAGTTTCTAGGGCGATTACTAATTACTTTCCTACCAAGAAAAGGATTTCACAAACAGGTAACCCTATCTCTATAAATAGAGATCAACCTCTTACATCAAAGGTACGCTCTACGCACTACAATTCGTACCCTATTGCAATTATTCTTACTGATTTAAGTAGCGGAGTGTCTACCCTCGGGAGACCCCGGGACCTTCTTTTGCAGGTTTTAGAGTTTTGTTACTTCCATGACCACCGGTTCAATCAACTGGAGATGCCGGTACAGATTTATGCTTCGTTAAGTGGCACGTCTAGTAGAACCCGACTCGGGTTCTCCTTCAACAAATTCTTTGACGGAGATGTTGATGGCTGTAATGTCTCCATCCGATATATTATCGTTGATGAGCAGGGTACATTGACAAAGTCACGTGCATAAGCTTTGAAAGATCAAAGCATCCAGGTTATATATATTTGATTAATATTGATCATAATATTATCGACTACATGTTGGGTCTACTTAGGGCTCTCCTTGAAACTTTGATTCCTCAATACCAAGGTTAATCATATAAAACAGACACATGCATGGAAACGCGTTCACAGTATGCATCCAAATTCTGTGTTCTAAGTTAGCAATACTTTAATCAAGTTATTAAAATTGAACTACTACTTGCATGCTTTCGGTGCCCAAGTTTTCCTTCACCCGCATGCTCGAATTGCTGCCTTTGGGTTTTCATTGACATTTAAGTCTAGCCAATAATTTTATTAATTAGAGAGGCCTATTACAAATTCCATCACATGCGTAAAATCCTTTGGGTTTAAAAGCATCTTTTTGTCCTTAAATTTTGGGCGGATGAGCAGCAAAGAAGGATGCCTTAGTTAGAGGCAATTAATGATAATGATTTATCAAAAGTACATAGTTAACATTACGAGGCTAAGTGTGCCCTTATGAAGCAGAAACACATTCATGAATTAGTCTTAATATCGAAAGAATCATGAGCCTCATATCATTACTGTATGTAATTACTTTTGAAAGTTTAAATGCCATAAATCGTGGTAATAAAATAATAGATTATGCAAGCATTGCGATTTAGTTACATTATAGCTATGTCATATCATTATCCTATAGCCTCTTGTAGATTTCTTTGATTCCGTGCCATGAATCGTGGTTATCCGAGGATCTTATTTACATGTTACACCGAATGATATGGGTTTCTTAATTCTATATTTGAGCATTATTGTTCTATTCTTATCATCCATGAATTTTTACGATAAATCTTTTGAGTTTATGGTTAACTAAGAATATTACTGTCTGTCAACTTTGGTTCAAGAAATTACACAGTCTCCTCAAACTAAACAAGACCGAGAAGCAAATCAGTCGGCGAGGACTACAAAACCTCCAGTTACAGCAGAAATCCAAGCAGTCACAGCCGCTCGACAAGGATTCTAAATCTTCAGAAAATTGTAAAACGGTCCTTAGTGATTTTATTATTAATACACTGACACTAAATCTTCTGAATGCGCAGAATAGCCCTTGGACCATCAAGGGACATACTTGGACAAAATTTTCTTTAACTAAGCAGAATTTATTCTTCAGTTCCTTCGATATTATTTATCATCCTCGCCTCTATTTCATTGTTTTTTATACAAGTTCTAACTTCACAGCAACGGCCGACCTGGTATATCAAAATCCACAACTCCTCGAAGAAGCGCACAACTTCCTCGACACTTGAGTACAGGATACTCATTTGTTTCTGACAATACAAGCTGAAACACCCCTTTCTACATAATTGCATGAAGCAAAGACTTTAATGGCAGATAAGTTATCGTAGCCTTCTATTACAAATAAGTTCATGTCATACATCATTGCCTTTCGAACTTATTCATATGATATGACAAATTTAAGTCTCAAGAATCATTATGCATAAATACACATACTATGACTCCCTAAGCCTATTGTTGCTACATAATCATAGTAGTAGCCTGTCAATTGTATGTTACCTAATAAGGTTTTCTCACATACTTATATGAATCAATACCTCTTTGCCATCACAGCAAACATGACGGTTGTTGCAAAGTATTTCAATAACATTACAAATTGAATAGCATGCATAGCTCACCGATTTTGGGGTACTACTTGCCCTATTCTTATATCAAAATTTGACATTCGCATGCTTACCTCATTTTAAGCCGTTCACAATTCTTGTATGCTCACCAAGGGTCCAACCACCTTGTTGTTAGAAATACTAACGTTTTGTCCAAAGTGAACAGCTATGCAAGCATAGTTCGATTTTTCGAGAGACCAAGGGCACATACGGTCGTGATCACACAGATTAGCCATATGACAAGGGTGGAGACAATCCCCTCGACTGAATTGAAAAGAGATAAGTAGCCCTAAACTTGTGCCACGTTACCATATTTCTAACTGGACTTCTATAACGAATGCAATCTTGGTTATTCTCTTTAAATAACACATTAAATGTGTGTGCCTCCCTTGAGGTGATCTAATAAAATGTGTACAGTTACAATAACCTGCCGGAGCATGGCGCAGTTGTACCACTTGGTTTTGTAGGTCTTACAATAAGACAATTTGATGAGTATCCTTCTCAAATCACGAAGCAACCCATTCCAAGTGGCAATGACTTGCTTAACAAGGAAGATAAGTATTATTATCTCTTTGGCATTTACACGTTCTCTAGATATCATCTCCTTGAATAAACAGTATATCCCATGAATTATTTGAAAACATCGTACATGCATGTTTTCGTGCTATTCCCTGATCCACTCAGTCGATTCTTCGAGGCTAAGATGGACTCATAAATTGAGGATCGAGTTTTACTGGCTTCATTCTATTGACTGTAATTTCAATGTGCATGTATGACTGATTTAATGTCTCAAATCACATAAAACACATAATCATTAACATGTTCTTCATACATGAAATGTGTGAATTTGCCATTTTCACATTTATGATCGGCTATCACCTAGCCTTCCCACATAATGATTCAAAAGGTAAAATCATAGAGTCGTGACATCTATGCTTTCTCGAGTAGAGTTTAATTGCTATTGACGACCTAAAATCTAACCATAGCACATTATGTTGATTGCCTCCATCTTTCTCGAAAAGCTGTTACTGTATGATCTTGAAAATAGTAATGCAGGGCCTTCTATCAGGCATGTCAAGAACGAGCTCGTTTGGCAACAATGAGGAGTTTCTTGACAAATAGGTATTGCTACCCTGACTTGTGGATACTCTTGTAAGAGTGCCAAGAGATAAGTGATACGCTCTCCTCATAATATTATTGCCTAAATATAATATTATTGCCTAAATATATGAACATCTGCATCATAACATGAATGTTATGATAGTTCATAAGCGCGGAATAATTGTTCTTGCACTCCTATTATGACACATTAGACATATATGTTTTTTGATCTCCTTCAGTATCCTCGAACTTTCACATAATAACTTCTTGCAGGGAAAGCCTTTCTCAGATACAAGATTTATTTTACCAATTACTTGCGTCCTGGCATATTCATTTAAATGACTTTGTTTACTCTCCATGCGTAAATGTTTTGACCAACCTCAAAGTCGATAGCTAAGTCATGTTCATTTCCTTTTCTTTTGAAAGGGGGTAGATACCCCTCTCTTACTTATAGTTATTGGTAATATGCTCTAAAAGTCATAGTGCAGGATAGTTTCCTTTCTATGAGCCATGAATCACAATGGATCGTTGTATCTACTCTACCGAACAATTAACTTGAAATGGCTGTCTGAAAGCCGCAATGACTTTCACATCTGATGCTCTAGTTCCATGTCAAATCACTCTGAGTCTTCAGAGGTCCGTAGTAAGTGCAAATCCGTGGAGAAGTGTTGCACGATTTCCGCAGCAATCTTTCATATCTGTTGTGAGTTAACCAAACCATGGCTTCAATAGCCTTGCTCATATCATGGTGAGATCTTCCTACTTCTTACATTTTATGTCTCAAAATAACTGTTTTTGAAGGGGGCAGAGTCCCTTAATAATATATTGTATTCCATGTCATTTCTCGTGCTATGATAATTTATTACTCACGAATAAACCTAAGTGCATGAGTAGGTATTTTGTTATGATCCGAGTATCATGTGGGTTTATCATGGTGCCTGTGCTTGAGAGGCGTCACCATCAGAATGCTACATCTTTGACAATTATCATGAAAGGATTCGGACAAATTCCTTCTCTAAACCAAGGTACGCTCAAACGAGCCTTTGGGTATGCATCCTTGATCAAGGGAATGACATATTACACTTAAATGTTTTCAAGGTTCGAAAGCCTTTTTGTGTTCTTATTAGATGAACTTCACACTGTTTACATAAACATGTCATTATTATGCTTGCAATACATGTCTTTGACTAAGTTGCACGATAAACATACCCCGAGAACTCTTGGGCAAATTAAGCAGAGATACATAACTCTCACAGCTGATCCCTCGAGGATAGTAACAACATCAAGATCGCTCTGGCTTTAGGACGTTTATGCATTAAACCAGGGATATAGACCATCGGTCTAATGCACATAGTGGTAGCCCACTCGAATACTCATGGGAGCTGGCATATTACATATATCCAGTTACACCCAATTAAACATGACTAGTCATTTGAACAGACATCC